TAAACAGCATGAATTTCCTCTGCAATTCTAATTCCCCCTCACTGTTTTTTCTTAGATTTATCAGCTCATTAAAGCAAAACACATATACTGCAGGAAAACACTTTTTACAGTGGTGGTAAGATCTCTGAATCACAGAAAAGCTAAATGCCCTGAACATTGTAGAAGCAGTTTTTTAGTTTTGCCAAAATCTTATTTTTAAGCAAACAAAGTCTCAGTTAGTATTATTAATTGTAAGGACCAAAATCACAGGATTGAAAAGTCATTAAATTGATATTTTTTGATACCCCCGATCTAGACTAGAATACATGATTCAAAATCTGAGAAGCTGCTCAAAATGTCCATTTCTTACTGAAATAAAATTTTGATTTCTTTAAAGTTTAAGTTTGAGCGCTTACACAGGAAGTTTTGGCAAAGTTGTGCTATAAATCGCCCAGAGTCTCTGTCTTCAGTCCTCCATTAAAATGCTTGTCAGAGCCCCTTATCTGCCCAGTGAGGTGTTTCAGTTCCAGTTCAGGGTGTGTGTGAAGCACTGGGGTGTATCCAAGAAGGTCATTCGTCACTGATTCTCTGGTTATTTTTATCCGTCCCCCTTTGTGCAGGTCTAATCAGAACAGGATGTTCCTCATCAAATTAACCGGGAAATATACTTTCATGAAATGAGACTGGGTCTGTATGTCTAACCCACCACTATGTCGCAGCGTAAGGTCTATTATCTCAGGAGGGTATAAGAATGTCTCCACTGATAGCTGTGAATCAGAGAAGGCTGAGCTTATTGGAAGTTCATATCAGGGTAATAGCCAGCAGACAAAGCCCTTTATGAAAGTGACAACCTGCATTTTTTAAGGAATTTTATCAGAGGAGGAAAATGTTGGTTCAGGTGGAAACCTCAAGTTTATCTTAAAAGGAGAATTCAGGGAGTATGCAGTAATAAAATATATCCTTAGAGGATGCCATTGAGGTAAAAACGCTGAAGGATGTAGAGCTCTGAACCCTGGAGTTTTATAGAGCTTAAATGAGCAACATTTTTTAACAAAACAGTATGAAGAAATCCTTGCTCCTTTATGAAAGAAAATAAAGTTCCTGCTTTTGAACTCCACTACAACTTATTATCATCTCTTGTTATTTGCAGACTGATCCAGAAAAGCTTGTCATCATCTACAGAAGAAGCCAAATAAAGTTAGTCATAGGAAACCAGTGCGCTCCCACATACAGTCTGAGTCCAGAAGAGTGTCATTATCGATGTCTCTCTCTCCCAAGTATTCACTTCTGCACCAAGATTTGTCTTTATGTCTGATCAAGTCATCTTATCTAAACATTTTTGCCCCTTTTTTGACAAATTTTGCACCAAAATGAGCACGAATCAGACTGTATAAAACAATGGACAGAGTGACAGCTATCCTGAGTGATGCCATAACTTTTAGAGCTCCCCCTGGTGGCTGACTGCAGTATAGCTCTGGAGACCTCTGTTATATCAAAAGAAGTGGGTAAAACTAGCTATGATCTTTTTTTGATTTGATAAAGATATGAAAAAAAATACATTTATTTATTAAAAATAAATAAACAAATAAAGATGCAAGCAACCTTCTTTAGGTTAAAGTCCTCCCTCAGCTCGCAGGAAGCGCAGACATCCTCCTCCTCCTCCATCTGTGTAACAGTGTTTTTTCCTCCTGCACATCCCTAAGATCAGTAAAAAAAATTCACTCTCTAACTGTGCAGGTAAAGTTGTTTGGAGCTGATTTATGTTTTCATCAACCTGAAGAGCAATCTCGCTGTGTTCAGAATTATTTAGCAACAAGTGACAGTTAGAAAGTCACTCCAGCTGAGATGAGCTACTTCAGGCCTCATTTACATTTCACACACTGACACATTGCATAATATCACTAAACACGCAGGATTTTCTTCTCGAGTCGATAAAAGATGGAGAAAACCGGGGACCACATTGGCTCTCTAGAACCTTTCAAGTCCAGATTTTTCCCTACATTCTCCAGCTGAAATGTGATACTCCTGGTGCGAGCTCCATTCACTATCCTTCACATCAAGTGAAGGCTCATAAGCATTGTTTCATGCACTGTACTGCCACTAGGCAGCAAATGGAATTGGAGATCTGTGTGCATGACACCACATTACATCCTTCAGAGGGAAAGGAGATGGAACGAAATGAAATGAGAGTCAGCCGGCACCTCTGCACAAAACAGCACTACAGCTGTGAGTGTTTCTGTGCCGCTGTCATACAGAGAGAGAGAGAGAGAGAGAAAAGAGAGGCAGAAAGAGAAAGAGAGGGAGCGGGAATGTGTTTCCCATCTGTGTGACACTCGGCGTTCCAGGTTATTGGTTGGTTTGTGCCGCTGTGTTTCTTCTCCAGCAGCAGCTCGGCATGTCAGGCACGAGAGAGCTGCATGGGTGCCCCTTTTATTTATTCATATTTTATCTAAATCCCTTATTCCCCTCCCTCTCTGTCGCTGCTTATAATTTCTCTTTCTCTGTTTCCCTCCACTGTCTGCTTCTCAGTTTATTTCTCTCACCTCTCCGTTCTCCAACTTCACCTCTCACCCCCCTTCCTCCTCCTCGCATCCCTCCCTCATTTCTTCTTGTCCCCCCTGAGTCTGTCTCTCTATCGTCCTCTCTCCTGTTTTGACAGTGTGGAAACTTGATGAATCAGACTGCATGTGACAGTCTGGCATTTGAGTGAATCTGATGTGGTTAATATGGTTCCTGCTGACAGCGTTGTGGAAATCATTCACAGTGGAGGAGCAGTGAGAGAGCACAGCTGCTCTTTGCCCCAGCTACCCTTAGTGCGTGCTTACTAGCGCGTGTGTGCGTGTATCTGTTTGTGTGTGTAAACGTTTTCTTTTGGGGGTCAAAGGTCAACAGAATAAGCTGTCTTCCTATTTCTCTGCCTGCAGGTTTGGTCCATGTGGTTTCTTCATGAATTCACATCTTCCTGACAGAGAGAGCTGAAGGGATGGATGCTGGATGTTCTTCATTTACATCTGAATACACTGCTGATCTAAAAGGACACAAGTAGGTGCGCAAAACACAGTCATGGTACAGAGTGTGAATATGGGAAAAACATCATTTATGAAGAGGGGGATACATTTAATTTAATTTCTTGAACATTTGCTTCAAAAAACACTTGGTGTGCTACGCTCTGACACCTAAGAATGATTTAAAAACTAACATACATGCTGTGGGTCGAGAGTTAATCTGACATTTTTTTTGTTCGACTTTTCAAATTCTGATTTTTTGTGATTTTTTTTGTTTGTTTTAGACTTAATAATAACCTCCTTGCTTGAGATTTTATGAAAACTACAGTTTAGCTTATGGTTAAAAATGATGCATTCCTTATTTGTCAATAGCATGCTATTTTGACCCTCCTGGCACACAGTAGTGCAGCTGCAGCAGTGTCTGTCTGCTTCCTATAGCTGCTATGATAGAAAATAACACTGTTGCACTTAAGATGGGATAAAAAAAAAACTTTTAGGTGCAAAAAAAAAGTCTATTTTTTTTATTTCACTGTCGTTGTTTGTTCCTTTCCCGATGAACATTTCAAACACAACATTCTCCATGACAAAGTATCCTGCTGTGAAACCCCACATTTGTGCAAATCTTCATCTTATGTTGCCTCTCTTTTCACGTCTTTGATTTTGGGGAAGGTTTTTAGTTTAATTAGTGAGTCTGACATACATGCTGTGGGTCAATAGTTACTCTGACATTTTCTTTTTGTTTGTTTATTTGGTCGACTTTTCAAATTCAGATTTCTTGCAATTTTTTTGTTTCATTTTTGTTTTAGACTAAATAATATTCTCCCTTCTTTCTTGAGATTTTATGAAAACCCAAGTTTAAGGTTAAAATTATGCATTCTTTATTTGTCAATAGCATGCTATTTTGACCTTTGTGGCACACAGTAGTGCAGCTGCAGCAGTGTCTGTCTACTTCCTATAGCTGCCATAATAGAAAATAACACTGCTGAACTTTGGATGGTATAAAAAAAAACAACTTCCAGGTGCAAAAAAAAAGTCGATCATTTTATTTTACTTTTTTTCCTCTCCCTATGAACAATCAAACATAACATCCTGCTGTGAAACCCCACATTTGTGCAACTCTTCATCTCGTGCTGCAGCTCTTTTCACGTCTGTGAATTCAGGGAAAGATTGTTAGTTTATTTAGTAAGTCTTTTGGAGGAGATCTCAGTGCAATCATAACCAACAATTATTATTATTTTTTTTAATTTTAACCTCAGGTTCCTCCGTTTTTTTACACTTTTTATGCACCTTTAAAATTAACCACACATTTTGTGCTTGCAGAAGTGGTATCCATATAAAAATCACAGTGTTTTACCGAATAAGAACTTTCTCTAACAGATTTCCTTCACAAGTATGGAAAGTATTGAAATAAATATGATCAGTTTCCAGGTCTTAAAAAGAATAGAAAATCAAAAATGAAGTATGAAAAAAATACTTATGTTTCCATACTATTAAAATTCTGCTTTCTACAATAGAAAAATAGATATTTCCAAAAATATTTCTAAAAAGAAGGGTATGGAAAGTCATTTCAGACCACGACTGGTTCAGCAGAGCAGAGTCTATTTGATTCATAAATAAACCCAAAAGTCTGTATAACAGAGTATATTTTATTGCATTCGCTTGATTCTTAAATGAAGAAATCAGACTGAAATTGCTTCTCATTTTCAATAGGAACATAAAACTGTTTTGAAACACTCGATAATGGAATTTTGAACGTGATTAAAAATGCAGTTAATTGTACTTGACGATTAAAATTCTGCAAATCGATTGTAATTAAAAAGAGTCACTGTTTGACAGACCTGCTCTAATAGAATATTAAAATTAATTAGGGATTTCACCCTGGAGAATCAGATCAGCCTCGTGTATCTTACCTGTTTTTGGTTTTATTCCAATTTTTCATCAGAGAAAAAGAGCACAAGCAGAGATCCTTTTATTTTGGCGGGATTAAAAAACATCAAAGGTCATGCAAATTTACTGGGACACTGAGTTTTTTTACTTTATTCAAATTTGACAAGATAAATTACAGGTTATAAAGGGGTCAAAGGGCAGGGATTGACATGCAACAAAGGTTCCCATCCTCCTTCATTCAAAAACAGTGATAACCTGATTCAAGCTGACTCTATGTGAAAACGCATTGATAATTCCTCAGATGTGAGTGTGAGTCATTGAATCGGTCTAATCTGTGTGCTGCAATCCCGCTCATCTTTGTTTATGCATGAGCATCTGTGCACACAAACCAAGATATTCCACCATGTCAGTCTTTGTGTGCGTGCCGCTACTGTGTGCACTCAAACTGTGATTTTCTCTGTGCGTGTATAAAAAACATATGGTGAGTCAGTGTGTAGGAGTGGAGCGCCAGAGTGTGTCGGTGGGAGGAGGGAGTGAGGAGAGGAGAGGAGAGGAGAGGAGAGGAGAGGAGGTGGTAGTGGTAAATAGGAGAAGAGGATTCAGGTTGTGCACCAATAGGTGGCACTCTACCCTTTTGTGATTGTCTACAGTGACCCAGACTGAGTCGGGTCTGGAAGCACATGCGTTTGCATCCGAAGGGAACAGGAAGTTGGGTCAGGAGAGTTGCTTTTTTTTTTTTCCCGGTCCTGTAGTTATTTCTGTTTGCTTGGCTGCTCTTAGTGTGGAGGAATAAAAGGAAAGTGAAAGGTGAGAGTGATGGAGGGTGAGGGTGGAGGTTACACCACGCTGGATGGGTGAATGGAGAGTCAACACTTTGGGGTCAAAGACGTAGTATTCTCCCTGGACAAATTCTTGCTTTTATTAAGAAAAAAAATAGATTTATGGGGTTTGAAGCTTTTTTTTCTGCATGACTCTCTATCTGAACCATAATATGTAGGGGAAAGTGGGGTAGGATGAGCCATTTTTCATATTTCAGATCACTACATTAAGACAATCCTAGTTTTGTCTCTAACTAGTGTATCTGCATATATTTCAAGATGTTGTGCATCCCTGCAAACCAACAGAATGAGTGTAAACAGAACTGTCTTGATAATATAGCATGCCAAAAAAAGGTCTCCTATGGTCAACTTACCCTGTGTATGGGGTAAGTTGACCATAGGATCGGGGTAAGTTGAGCCATATCACTACTACCCCCCAACTCTCCACCCCAGCCCTCCCTCACCTTCTCTGTCCCTAAATAACAGTCACGTCTTCACATTCATGTGTATTTTTATCTATTAAACACTATTCAACTGGTAGAATCATTCTTTTTATTATTATTGCATATAACTGCTAAAAAGCTGTTTTGTAAAAAGTCATTTTAACATTAGAATGTCTTTAAGTGATTCAGAACATTCACAGCTGTATTTGTGAAAAGGAAAAGTAAAACATTTCAACAATCTGAATTTAATAGTCCTCTAAGCCAGAGGTCCCCAACTGATCCGTGGATCAATTAGTACCAGGCCGCAAAAAATAAATAACGATGATTAAATTTTTTTTTTCTTGTCATCCGTCCTCCCAGTATCTTATTTTGAAAGACCACCACCTCCACCATCGCCCACTTTCGCACTTGACTCTTTGGCATGTCATTTTCCTGCATCAGCAACACAAGCTAGCCCTCGCAAAAATGAGCCAGAAACAGAGTTCACTGGAGAGAGAAAGGGTTGATTCTGCATTATGGTGGGTTGATGTAAAAATGTAATGAGAAGTGCCTAATATAAAATGTAATTGTTGTATCCAGATTACATACTATGTACTGATTAAGGTTTTAGTTATTGGAACCTCCACGCCCCTACCCGGTCCTGTCTAGTTTTTCTTTTTTTTCTTTTTTCTGTGCAGCTCCATTTTCAAAAGCTATTTGGGTTCTTATTTTCTATGATTGACACTTGATACAGCCGATGGACGTGCGAAGATTGCGTAGCGATACGCTGTTTGAGCTGAGCGTTATCACAGTGACTCACCCGCCGAATGTGTACAATGCTACTGTGCAAGTGGTGGTTCCAGGAAGTGGAGAAAATCCTGGAAACACCAGAGCGATTCGGCTTCAAATTTGTATGATAACGGAAGGTTACCTACCTGGTAGCTAGACAGTATTGACTTAGTAGTTATCATGTAATTTCATGTTGTTAGTAGGTAATTACCTGTTAATTACCTGGTAATAAGTGTACCGTAAAACAAGGGGTTACCTAAATGTCTAACCCCTTCACCCATGTGCTTCTAACCTTCACAGACTCCATGAATTGATGCCCATCTTCTCAATATTTGGTCACATGTTCAATTTCTTTTACCATTTCCAACCAACAGGGGGTGGCTCAACTTACCCTTTGGCTCAACTTTCCCCACTCTCCCCTCCCGTGTGTGTTTACTTACAGTTGCTTGACCGTAGTTTGTTTGTTTGCTGCTCAAAGTGTCAGTCAACAATGTCATCCATTCACAGAGTCCAGACACAGAATTACATAAATGTGTGACTCACTGACTAAACCACATGGCTGCTGCTCCTTTCTCATGACATCTCCCATCACATCATGACTATAATAATAACTGAGAGCAGTGGGAGTCACATTTATAGTGTACAGCGGCATTCAAGTGCGAAATGAGAATTATTGTCTTCACGTGTGGTTAAATGTAATAAATTAAACTTGTTATATTCAACCTTAATAACTATCTGCATGAGCACAGAGGATGATAATTACCCAGAAATTGAATTTAAGGCATGTGCAAGGATGAAAAAGTGTCGTATAATTAAAAATATAGCGGCGATATAATGAAGAGCTCCTTGCTAAGAGATTGCATCTTCACTTTCTACAACAAAGATTTCCGCACAATAAGCCGGGCCTCAAAGGCCTCTCATCGCACAGCGGGGGGTTCATATGAATTAAGTGAAAAAGAGAAATACGCTCCGTTAATATATATATACATACTCTGTCTTTATTGAACATAGTTTATACAATCCTGCTGGGAGAAGTGAGCATGGGTTCATGTATTAACAGGGCACAATTTCCTGAATATGCAATTTTTGTTGTCTTATTTTCTTTTTGCACTTAACAGCCATATCCTCATGACGATAAAAACTAATAAAGGGGCGAATCTAGTGCGACTAAATTGCTAAAATAGAAAAGAGGTCATTCAATTGAGTACAAATGATAAAACATAGTGCAGCTGATCATCAAGCAGGGTCAAACAGTTGGGATACAAAGAGCAAACCTACAGAAAGAATTGATCATATTCACAAAATATACACATAAAATAACAATGTAGAGCATTCATTGTCTTCTAATGTCTAGGCAAATGAAAATGAAATCATAACACCGGCTAAGTGAGACATCAGTAAAAGCCCATGCCCGTGAAATGGGACAAAACGACGGAAAAGGGCAGTTCACGGCCGCAGTCACCATAGTGATAGAATCCTATATTCTATGGAGTTCACAACCTTTTACATTCAACAACCCTAACAAGCACGTAAATGGGCTGAGGTCATGCAAGTGCAGTTCTGGTGGTGGAGCGGTGGAGCTGAGCAGCTAGGCTGGGGGGTCAGAGGGCGGATCAATCGGGGTCGCTGGTAAAAGCAAACAAGCTCAGTCCTAGTTTTTTTTTTAAAAACCCGCACGCACACGCACAAAAATCCCACGCGCACGCACCCATACACCTACAGTTTTCTGTTTGACTATTCCACTCGGAGTTTTGGGAGGTCATTGGTCTTCTCGTGTTCCATCCGGGGTGGAGCCGACAGTTTTATAAGTCTTACAGGGCAACAGGGGCTGTCTCTTTATCCTTTGGCTCAAAGACAGAAGAAGAAGGAGGAGGAAAAGAGAGGAAGTGGGAGGATACAAAGACAGTTCATAAAGTGTGACACGACTGCTCTTCCAGTCCTGTGGTGTTCACATGGAGGAAAACATGCAGCAACAACAACAGGCTCAGGAGGGATCCTTTGCAGTCAGTAGCTAAGGTCCAACATTATTTCAATTGATCAGGTATTTAAGTCTAAAAATTGATCCAAAATAAAACATTCTTGTTACATTTTAATACCCTAACCCCCCTAGTTTCCATGCACAGATATCGTACAAAACGTCAATTTAAAAATCCTTGGCACTGGATGTCATCCGAGGTTTTGCACAATAGTCCGATGATGTTGTTCTTGTTTGGCGACAGAGTTGTTGTTCCCGTGTGCTTGTAAGTTTTGCATCTTCAAAAAAAGGGAAAAAAATGGTTCTGGGCATTGGATCCAAACCCTGGGAGTCCGAACAAACACTGTATTGCATTTTTTATTGCATTGCATATTTTGATTCTCTAAAAAGTTCATGTTGCAACTTTTTTTTTAATCATGCATAATTCATCTCTTATGTCTTTTTTTGTTGTTGAACTGAGCTTTTCTAAGTTGGTCTGTTCAAAATCTAAAGTGCTGATAACAAAAACATAGATATATATATACAACAGATAAAGAGCTACCTTACAAAATGAAACATAACACAATACTCGAAGACCCGGAAGCCATGAAACTTTACACTTTTATAGTTATTTTGAGTGGAAGTTCGTCTAAATTAAGTATCAATGAAACAACAAAAGGAAAAGTCGTGTGTGTGTTTTTTTTTTCTGTAGTGGTGTCATTTTCTGTGCCGCAGTGTGCTCCTTTCTCATTTGAAGAGGTGCCTGCGTTAAGAGGAGACGGCTTTAATGAGAGCATCCTCGTGGATGATGGATGTCATGAGGGAGCAAACACACACATCAGCTTATATATAGAAACCACATGGCTTAAACATGTTACCCCCATCTGCTTAATTGGAAATGGTGTGTAATGCCATGCAAATCCACACAAGTGGATTATTAATGAATGTGTTTTTGGCGTTTGGTGTAATTGATGATGATAGCTTTCGGTTTCTATATTTTGCTGCTTTCATAATGAAAACCAGACGCCTGAGCTGTCAATCCCAGAATTAATTGGAAGCTAGTGTGGGGGTCCTTTTAACATCAATTAAAAGACGACAATAAATAGCAACAATAAACTGGGAAATGAGAACAGTGTTAGCACATAAAGGCTTAAGTCTTCCTCGGAAATGGATGATTTGTTGCCAGGATACATGAAGACTGAAGAGCTGTGTGAGATTCCAGCAAGTATAAGAACAGTGGGTTGGATGTGTAGCGTTGTAAATGAATGTTTGCCACACTTTTTATCCGCTTTGTTTACAGCCATTGTTGCAAAGACGTGTCATCCGTTTTGTAGCTTGAACTAATTCCTCCTGCTGATGTTTAATATCTGGTACAAATTGCATATTCTATTTCTGGAGGCAGGTGTTTCTGGGTTTTTCTTCAAAAATGTGCTACCAGAGAGATCAAAACTTTGTGCTTTGACAACTCGTCTCAAACTTATGATTAAATCATGCGCTGGCATTTCATATCTTCTGTGAAGCTATGAAAATCCAGGGCACACTATAAAGAGCGGAAAACACAGAAAACTATACGTGTAAATTATTAGCATGAGTGCATGTTTAACCACATTTCTCCATCAATATCTGCATGTGAAAATGAACATTATACAAGGCAGATGTACAGTGCTTAGCATTAATGAGGACACCCCTTCAGAGTTGTCAGAAAACCTTCAGTTTCCTTTCAAAATCAACACTTTTCTAATTCAGAGTATACAACGAAATACTCCCCCAAATGTAGGCCATTGATTACATACAAGATTTTTTAAAGGGATATTCCGCATAAAATTAATTTTGGCTCAAACACAGCGTAACACCAAGTTAGACACCCCGTCGAGAGATGAATGTTGCCGACCGCTTGCTTCTCTAGTTATACCAACTTTAGTAACGACCGCAGGATAGCAATACACAGCGGTCTGAGGAGCCATAAACAAACCTCAACCAAAACGCCACTCTATAGCCACAAATAATGCTCAGAACAGCACCTAACTTCATCAACAGTACATATAGGGTCCCAGCCATAGAACTAGCCACCAAACATCTTTAGCTTTGCCTGGTTCCTTTAGCAAAGAGACTAAACACAACTCACCTACTCTCTCCAAGCAGCCGCTTGTTTGTAGTGAGACCACAGGCTAGTCTATTACAGACTACAGCGGGGTGACGCAGCTCAAGGAAGAACATTTATGATCTATGATTCATTTACCATTTCCTTGAATTAATAATCATCATATTATTAATTTTGCGCTGTAGATGCGGTAGTTCTTCTGCCGTAGCGTCTCAGTCTGATTGCAGTTCCATGAAGAAATTATCATAAATGTTCTTCCTTGAGCTGCGAAACCCCGCTGTAGTCTGTAATAGACTAGCATGCAGTCTCACTACAAACAAGCAGCTGCTGGAGGAGAGTAGGTGAGTTGTGATTAGTCTCTTTGCCAAAGAAATCAGGCAAAGCTAAAAAGATGTTTGATGGCTAGTGCTGTAGCTGAGACCCTATATGTACATGACCCTATATGAGCATTATTTGTGGCTATAGAGTGTTTTTTTTTTTGGTTGAGGTTTGTGTGTGGAGACGTAGACCGCTGTGTATTGCTATCGTGCGGTCATTACTAAAGTTGGTATAACTAGAGAAGCAAGCAGTCGGCAACATTCATCTCTCGAGGGGGTGTCTAACTCGGTGTTTGAAACTAAATCAATTTTATGCCGGAATATCTATTTAAGTTGCATCCAAAACATTATTTTTTCAATTTAAAATCAGGATGCAAAAATTAGTTCACCCTATTCACCGTTCTGGGAGCAAAGCTAAATTTTAGTTACCATATCACCCCAAATTTCATCATCAATATTAAACTCAGCTCTGTCAAAACTTTGGAAATTGTACTTTTGCTCATCTAGGTATTGAGTAGTACATTACTTTTAATAGAGGGTGTACTGACTTATGCTGGGCACTGTGTCTGCAGTACACATAAAACACTCTGAAGACTGTTTCACATCCTTTGTATTCCATCAGTGGAGGGAAATTAAACCAACGATCCAAAAAAAAGAAGCTGTCGCAAATGGATGTTGTGGGTAAAAAATGAGAAGTGGAAGGAAAAAGAAGAAGCGCTGAAAGTGAAGAGAGTCACTGCTGCTCGTCACCCTGGATCCAGTTAGGGAAGAAGCACCCTCATTCCCTGCTCTAAGTGTGTTTTAAGTATCATTTAAAGGGGAGTGTGTTAATCTTCAGCCCACATGCAAAATCACTCTGGTGTGGAAATGCATGCATGTTGCACACATAACAGAGATAAATAAACAATCAAGTACAGTGGGTCTTCTTCTGGCTCTGCAGCCTAGCTGGCTTAGCTGTTCCATCGCGCCCCATCCACTCAGGAAGGGAGGAAGGGAAGCAGGACAGACACAGACAGTGTCCTCATGTGTAGCTTTTTTTTTAATATTAGGGGAAAGAAATGAGGGAGACGGAGAGAGATTTGATACCTGTTTGAAATGGTTCCAGATCCCGGGGCCCACAGGCTGTGAGCTCCCAGGTCAAGTTGGCAATAGGAGCTGGTTCATCTGCTCTAAACACACTCACTTTCCAAGGGAGTACTTAAAAAGAAATACAATGCACTGAGGCGGCATAAAAGAGTGCTTGGCAAATGTTTGTCATCTATTTATTGAGTAGATATATTTATATGGGTTTGTGTGTGCTCGTGTATGGAAGTGTGTTTGTGTGTGTTTGATTTCCAGGAAGACAAACTCTTGGCTTAGATGGTATCCCTGAAAGACAGAGAGAAGAGAAAAAAGGCAGAGTGAGTAAAAAAGATAGTGACTGAGTCCACTGTGTGTGTTCGGCTGAAAGGGGAAGACAGAGAGGGGTGTCCTGGTTTGCAGCACAGAGTCAATAAAGCTTTTGCATCAAATGATGGATTTTTTTAAAAACATATTCAAACATACAGATTTATGCGTACACACACCTACACACACACACACACCTACTCCATTTCACATCTGCCCGCACAAACACAAGCACAAACGCACAGCGGTATGATGTAACAGCGTGCTCTGGTTCAGGCTCGCTGTGGAGGCTGGCGTTCATTCCAGGCTGAATTTAAAATTTGGAATTATTCAGTCCCTCGCTGCCAGTGTTGTTCACAGAGACCCTGTGAAGCTCGTCTGGGAACCTCTGCCAGGTAGTTCACACCTCCACCTCCTCCGCCTGATGTGTTAAAGCAGGAGGCACTTTTGACAGCACTGAGAGCCATTTTCAGCTTGAGAACTTACAAGGATGCTGGCACAAAAAAGCCTGAAGTCTTTGTTTTTAGTTGGAAGGTAGACAAGGACGCATACTGGGGGGTAGAACAGGGACTGTGTCAGGACCCGTGTACTGTATAGAAGCCAAACATGCATTGAGAAAATCAGTGATTTTAATTCAAAACTGTTCCTCAAGTGAAAATAGTTTGAGAATTTAAAGATATTTTGTTTCAGTTGAATAACCTGCACTGTAAGGAGATTCAAATAAGGAATTCAGTACATCTCTATGTACATCTTTGATGTTGTTAACCTTAAAGGAATATTCTGGCGTAAATTTAAGTTATGGTCAAACACAACATAACACTGAGTTTGACATCCCCTCAAGAGATGAATGTTGCTGACTGTTTGCTTCTCTAGATATACCAACTACATACACAGTGGTCTACGTCTCCACGTGCAAACCTCATCCAAAAAGCCGCTCTATAGCAGTACATATAGGATCCCGCTTGTTTGTATGGAGACCTCTGGACGAGTCCATCGACTGCTGCGGGGTGACGCAGCTCAAGGAAGAACATTTATGATCATTTCTTCATTATTTCCTTGAACTAATAATCATCATATTAATCATTTTGCACTGCAGACGCGGTAGTTCTTCTGCCTTAGCGTCTCGGTCTGATTGCATTTCCATGAAGTAATGATCATAAATGTTCCTCCTTGAGCTGTGAAACCCCGCTACAGTCAATGCCCAGAGGTCTCCGTACAAGCAAGCGGCTGCTGGAAGAGAGTGGGTGAGTTGTGTTTAGTCTCTTTGCTAAAGAAATTGGGCAAAGATGTTTGTTGGCAGTGTGACAGTGTGTTTGACCATAACTTAAATTTACGCCGGAATATCCCTTTAACTTGTCTATCTTATTTCACTTCTGCTCATTGACACTGTGGCAAAAATGATCATTTCAGATAGCATTCTGAATCAGATCCTCAGAGTCAGGAAATAATGATAATGTGAGAGCAGCCAGAGGAGCCGCTGGGGTACAACCATGTCTGTTTGGCAGAAATGGAGAAAAATTCTGTCCTGCAATCTAGACAACAGCAGCAGCAGAGGTGGTAAATCTCGAAGCTGAAATTACAGTTTCAAGTGTCTGCTTGAGGCGAACTGCAGAAGCACAAGGATCCATGAACAAACAAAGCCAAAAAAGTCTGTTTTTAAAGCAAAATAAACACGTTTACAGCCTGGTTAGAAAAGGGGTAGCTCAGGAATCCCATAGAATCCACTGCACAGGGAGGGAGTTACTAAGGTTACAAGATCAACCAATCAGAGGCACGGCTGACTTGACTGACAGGCAGACACACTGTAGCTATTTGCAAGAAGGCTTTGAAACCCGCCTTATGTAGGAATGTAGCTGAAGATAAGAGAAAATGACTACATTACTAAACGGGGGATCTGTAGCTTTAGCTCATGTTTCTAGTCCAAACTCCCCCAGCCAACACTTCACACCCTTTACTGAGATAGATCTGTAACTATTTGCACCAAAATCTGGCTGCCAGAAATAAAAGATGAAGAACAAATGCCCTGGTGAGCACTAACCGGGATTTTAATATTGAAATGTGGTTGAAATCAGGTCTGAACATCAAAGAACTCATTTCAACCTCCAAGTATGATTAACACATCAATACGCCAAACACACTTTTTATATCATACTTTAAAAACTGTTTGATTTTGTGGTTGAAAATTGACAGACATGAGGTTTGCGCTAGAGTATGACATTTATGGGAATTCCAGTGGGTCACGTGATTCCCGCGGGGATCCCGCGGGATGGGAGTTATTTTTTAATTAATCCTGTGATTGGCTGAAAATGATCAGCTATTAACGTTGTTCCCGCTCCTGCCCACTACCATCCCATGGGATTCCCGCAGGAATCACGTGACCCACGGGAATTCCCGAAAAATGTCATCTTCTAGTTTGCGCGTGGATCCGTAGACCGCTGTGTATTGCTATTGTGCGGTCGTTACTAAAGTTCTAAAGTATCTAAAGTATCTATCTAAGTTACTAAAGTATCACTAGAGAAGCAAGCGGTCGGCAACATTCATCTCTCGAGGGGGTGTTGAACTCGGTGTTACAGTGTGTTTGACCATAACTGAAATTGACAATGGTATATCCCTTTAAGATGGATTGATTTGATATGAAGTGTGTGTGTGTGTGTGAGAGAGAGATTAGCTTGTCCTTAGCACAGCTTTTGCTATTCAGGATAAACCACAAATGCCATGGATTCTGACCAATCAGAATAAAGAAATAATTAAAAAAGACCTTTATAACCCTACACTGTTTCTTTATTGCTGCCTATATTCTCCGGTTGAGAGAATTTAAAATAAATGTAATAAGAAAAAGAAAATCTTGTAAGTAATAACTCCTAATTGTGTCTTTGTGCGACATAAAAGAAGGAGTAAATTGGAGTTTCTCGCTCTGGGGCACGTTGACAGGTCATGCAACTGCTGACAGGCTCATATTGGCTCTTGCACAGACTGAACTTGTGACCCCTGGGTGATTGAACCATTTCTCTTTAGACAAGGCTGCCCTGCTGCATTAACTGTATTTTGCTCAAGAAAACAGATGGCCCGTGCACTTCTGCACAGTCACAGCAGAAGAGATTCCTCATTGCTCTGAATGACTGGTTGATAATTCTGAGTAGATGAGGTAGAGGGACATCGCTCTGCTCAGCTTGTTGGGCTGTCCTGTCTTATCAAAGAGTGAGAAGGGTACAGGCAGTTCAGCAAGGGAGAGAGAAAGAGAGAAGGAGATGAGGGGGGTTGGAATAGAGAGAGGGGGGAGAGAGTGAGTCTGGGAGAGTGACACCGAGATAAAGTGGGAAATAGAGAGAGCACTTGAGTGTGAGGGATGGCGGGAGAGGGAGAAAGAGGGAAGACACAGTCAGGGACAAAAAGCAGTTTTCTGGTGTGATAACAATTTATCTCTCGAGAAGGATTTGTAAATGTTGTTCGCTCCAGTGTGCACACGGGCGTCCATGTCAACACAGGTAGATGTGTGAGAAATGCATCCATGCAAGCACGCACAAACTAGGTGACAAAGGCAGATGTAGCAATTCCCAAAAGGCCGCCAGGAGAAATATGATAGATGGCGGGACCGCTGTTTATATCGGTCTTCTTCGCTCTCTGTCTGAGTGGCCTGTAATTGAAAGATCATTACACCAAAGTTATGGCTACGGCCCCGCAGTCGGAAAATAGGAATTGAGTCGGAAACAGCATTTAGTGGTTTTGATTTATGAGCAACAATGGGGAAGTTGTTTTTCAAGCCTGGCACTCTGATGGGCAATAAAGAGGAGCAGGGCTTATCACCTGCTGTACCCACTCTGACACACACACACACACACACATACATACACCAGTCAGCCTGCCAGCCGGCAAGCAACCAGTCAGCAACCAGCTGGGCCCCTTCAAAGAAGGAAGTGTTCTCAGCAAATTTGTTTCCTTCATGTCTTGCCCTGAATGGCGCTATTCATTAAAATAGCCTCCAGTCGGTCGTGGTTGCTGCTGTGGCTCATTTCAACACTTGTATGGCTCTAACCCCACAGAGGAAGACGCGCACACAAATCCACCTGCACACATGCTTGCATAAACAGAGTTTTCTTCTGGTCCAGCACATCCCTGCTGCGAGAGGACCTCTGATAATAAAAGCAAGGCGACAAAGAGTGAAAGGGGACTGCTGCATGCGCTGAGGTCCGCTTTCAGTTAGGGCCACTTGAGCCGGATTTGTATTTATCTGGAGTGAAAAGGACTGTCTGCTGTTATTAAATAGATGTAATACTTGGATTGAGATGGAGCTAACTCACAATCAAGGGGTCACTTGTGTGGGTGGTACTGAATAAAAATAGTATTGAAACGTAAAGTGTTAATTGTGGAAGTGTGAAGTATTGTACCATGAAGTGTGGTTCAGCTGTGCAGAACTGCTTTCTTTTTTACACTACAGCTGGTGTCCTCTCCACAGACTCACAGTTCAGCTCAATTAAATGTGCACTACTGTAATTTTAACTCTCATTTACACCCAGTTATTCCTATACATCTCCATTAACCAGATGTAAAATCAGACTGAAACACATCCTGGCTTTAACAGTGGAAGCCAAACTCAGCCGAGCAGAGTTGATGATTGGATTTCTTGATATCGAAAGCAATAGAGCGTCTTTCTTTAAACTGACCTTTTGTAGAGAAGAGAACTTATATGTGAATTTCTTACAATAAAAGAAGTGAACTTTGTCGATTCATCAGTGAGGCAGCGAGCTTTCTCATGTTTTGGACTCAGCGGATAGAAGTTCTGCCGTAAAACAAGAGGGGTTATTGATTTTTCCTCTCAGCTGATTCATTGCCAAAAAAAAAAACATTCTTCGAATAATTGAATGGTCAGAATGATAGAACTGGATCCCAATGCTAATTTTGCAAGTTATGATATGATGCAAACTGGAGGCCATAAATACCGATTGATAAAAAATTGCAGTCTCTACATACTGTGAGTCAGAATAAACCCACTGATGCATTTGTGTAGGTCATTCTAACATGCTCACAAAGCTACAAACCAGACTTCAGGCTCCAAATGAAGATTAACAAATTCATATCACTTGGTTTGACCAGTTTTTTCTTTTTTTACGTATTTGTAATCTGTGGAAGATTCCCACCCAGGAATGAAGGCAATGAACTAGACAATCTCTCTTTGCTCTCTTTCCCTGCACCTGTCACATGCTCTGCAGGTGAGCGAGATGTCCTACTGTACGTCCCTCCTGCTGACGCATCGGCTGTTGTGTGACACCTCAGGTTAAATAGAACTGTCTCTGCTGTCGATTTTATTCTGCACTTTTGTAGTTTTTGGATTTTTGCATCATTCACTGATCTCATTTAAAAATAATGTGTTTTTTGGCGTTTTAATAGAATGTACAACTGCACCTATAGTACAGAGAAATAGGAGGTGAGGAGTCATGCCATTACATGTGTTACCCGGGATTTCCACCACATCCGGAACAGCTCCCATCCGGAACGGCGGCGATTTTCACCGTACGCCAATCGCGCGATAACAAGTTGTCTTTGAACTCTTGCAACCAGCTGATTGGCGGATCTGAATCAGCTGTGAAATCGCCAATGATAACTCCCTTATCAATCAGCTGTGCGATCGATGGGCAATGACTTGCTAATTAATCAACTGTATGATCACCGATGATAACTCGCTAATGCTAATACTCGCACGTATGTATACTGATACATATGAGTCCGAGGTAGAGTCACGTAAGAAAAAAACTCATTTTTAAGGTAGCCGCGCAGGCGCACTGTGTAGCCTACAATTAGCGTTTAAACTTTCTATTAAGTTTGAGATGGAATCACGGCGGAAGGAGGAGATGACAGCGCCAAAGACACCCATCAGCCCTCTAAGAGGACCGAGTCAGAAGAATGGGCATATTTTGGGTTTTATAGGAATGTCGAGGGAACGCTTAGTTGGAGATAGTAATCCTGTCTGGATATGATGAAACGATGAAATCATTGTTTAGTGCTACTAAAAAAAAATCAAAAATGCCTTTGAATACATTTTTAAAAGTACTGCGATCATACCAAAAACCATGATTATTTTGGTCACAAGAACCGTGAGGTTGAATTTTCATACCGTTACATATCTAGCCACAGGTAAAGGTTTGTTTTGAACTGCTTTTATACAGCAATGATCAGCAAAATGTATTGGTTTGTAACTATTTTGAAGTTAAATTAAAGTAAAAAAAAACATCTCTACAACACTTAAAAGTAGCAGCAGAGTATGGTCATAGTTTTCGTCCATGTCAGACATCTTGACCTCTAAGAGAGACAGATGAAACCACAATCAATCACAGTGACAACTGCAGTTGTACATGCAGTAGTTTTGTGCACTATCCGGTCAACTGAGGCTCGAACATCTCTGGGATTTTCACTTACAAGCTCTGGGGCATTGTGTGATGTATCACCTCCTCTATCCTTTCATCACTACTCCCATAATGCACTTACTTAGTGATACTCTCGAAGGATTGTGTAGACATCCTGTTCTCTGCACATTTTCACTGGCACTCATTTTTTACTTTCTACCTGCAAACCATATAGCATGACATTCCCCTTATTCTTATACTGCAAAACCTTCAATCTCAGCAAGTCTATTTGTAAGGTATTTTATTATAAGTAACATTCATATGACAAGTCCGGATAAATACATTAATCCAAGAATAGCTGATAATGAATTAATATATATGCTGAGGCCATAAGCTATTAACTGTCTTGGAATTAACATGATGTCTTGATTCAAGAATTTCAGTGTATTGTGTTCGCTGCTTTGAAAGGTATTTTCCGTGATTGCACATGGACACTTTTTATCATCCGAGAAATAGGATGTTTATCTGGACTTTTCACACAAACATAGCTTTCAATCTAGCCTCTTGACCAGAAGTAGGAGACTACATTATAAAGCCGTGTAATTCCTGTAGCTTTCCGCAGCCTGATGGCCACTAGGCTGCTTCATACAAGAATTTTGTCAATTAATCCAAAGCCCAAACAGAGCATAGCTGTGAGTATTACTCGCTTATAGAGATTTCTATGGCTTCTCACACCATCATGTCCTTGGACCTGGTTTAGCTCTGGCCTTAGGGCTTCTCCTTTGCAGAGAAAGAGGAAGGAGCAAAACCCACACAGTCGAAGCGCCCGGAGCCACATATTGCATCAATAATGTGCACATAGATATATAACCAGGCTAAAGCAGCGACTTGGAGCATATGTTGCTACAAATCAAACATGGGAAGCTTTACATGCAGCCATACATGCATCATAAACAGGGATTTCTTCACCTCAAGCCTCAGCGTTCTGTCAAAGTGTCAGATCCTGCGAGTGATTTATGAAAACATCAAACAGTTACTGATGTCTTCACTGATGTTGACAGATCTACAGCTTAGGAAACAATGTAAAATCGACAGTAATCCAAATCTGCCACCAATAACTACAGTGTGTCACATAAACAACATGTTTCCATACAATACAAGAATTTTATTTATCCTCAAAGGGAAATTCATTGAGCATAGAATGAAGCATAAAACAGATGATAAACTGAGATTCATTTTAGTTTAAAATGACAATATAAAGACTTACGACAATGACAGGGTATTTACAGCGTCTACTTTCTTTTGCACTTAAAAACTTGGTCCAAATCTTAAAACTACCTGAATATTTCAGAAATTTTGTCAGAAATCGTTCTGTCATGTACAACGGAGTAAGGGCCACACTGAGAAAAAAAAAAAAAAAAGACTTAGAGATTAAAGTCGTTAACTTACGAGAATAAAGTCATTAATAACTGGAAAACTTTCAAATTACTTATGGAAAAAAAGTTGTGATTAAAAAATTACATATGAGAATAAAGTTGTGATAAAATCATTACTAACGAGAATAAAGTTGTAAGTAATTACGAGAATGAAGTTGTGATAAAACCATTAATAACAAGAATAAAGTCTAATAAAATCACTACTAACGAGAATAGAGTCACAATAAAGAAATTACTTACGAGAAAAAAGTCGTAATAAAATCATTACATACAAGAATAAAGTCAGAATAAAGTCCTACATTCTAGTCTGTTGCCATCGAGCATTTCATGAAAATTTACTTCAATAAAGGTTTCTCAAACAAAGGGATACTTAATCTTTTGGCACATCAGCACCACATTATTATAGATATCATCATGATTTTACTACGACTTTATTCTAATAAGTAATTACTTTATTACGACTTCATTCTTGTTAGTAATGACTTTAGTCTCATAAAATAACGACTTTAATCTCAAAGTCTTATGTATTTATTTGTTTTCTTAATGTGACCCTAATACTCCATTGTACTCATGAGATTAAAGACCTTTTGAAAGGAAAGATAGGTGTCAGCTCTCCAACCCAGGCTACATGGCCTGACACCTATCTTAGCCACAGAGATAACTCAAAATACACAAGACAAGATCACCACAAGCTTCTACCCATTCGAGAAGTCAGACAAGTCAAACTCAGAGATTTCAGCTCAGCATAGTCAGCCCTTTGATACTGGGAGCAACAAGATGGAGCACCAGGCTTGTTATGTTCTGCAGCCAGTGACCAGTGACAATGACAGGCAATGTCAGCATGGATATCAAGGCCAAGTCTTTTTTTATTTTTTCAAAAGCAATACAGTACAAAGAGAAAATTTGGTATTTTCGTTCAGTGCTTAAAGTTGGATTGGATTTTCATCCTTTTCATTAAAGCTGATGAAACACAGCAGAACAAAGCTAAGGCTATCACTCATTCATGTGCACCCTGGTACATTTGGTCCACGCTGGAACGCGATGATTTTACAAGAATTCAGATCCCTCTTAATGTTGCAAGCACACATAACTTAACTGCGTGGCGTCATCAACCATCAACACTTAACGGACGTTTAAGGAGTGCTAAAGTGCTCCGTGGTAAAACCCTGAGCACAGGAAGGAATTAATGGTAATGTCAACAGTGAAACCAGCACTGAAGGTGAGGTAATGACGTAAAACTTGTGCGGTGCAATCAGCTACAGCGTATTGTATCAGATCAACCGCGTCAGCAAGAATCTGCAGATGCCTCGGTGGGTCTCTTCAAACACTTGAAAGAGGGACAACTGCGTCGTCTTTAATCTGGCCTGTTTCAAGGAGAGTGGATTTGCTGCCTCTCAAACTGATGCTAAAGAGATAGCAGAGAACCTGGAGATTTGAGAAATGACAGAACCTTTCCTTGAAAAAAGACAGCTGACAACCCAGCTGACGAGAGGAGCAATTCAGCTGTGTGTTTCTTTTTTTTTTCTCTGCCTGCTATTTTTTCTTTAATCAACATCTTGAACAACAGATTCTCAAAACTGGATATTTATGACCTTGGCGTTTTCTGTTCTCCAAAAATAATTCTCAGAAACTTAAAGTCAACATGAAGAAAGTGCAGAAAAGCTCCACATGACAGATTCAGATAAATGACAGATAAAGATATTTCAAGAGGCGTGGGGATGCTGTTCATGGATTTATTTGACTTGTTCCAAAGAATAGCCTCCAGATCTGTGTGGAAAAGTCAACATTGCTCTGCTGCAACTATTTACTTTTTCAATCAGTGTTGCCTCTGGAGAGAAAAGCTCCTCCAGCCAACCAACTCTTCAAAACCGAACTCTAAATAGAGACTTTTAGGATGGATGTATTTCTTTTTTATTGTTTGTACAAAGTTTTTGAATCTAGATGACAAAATTTTTACTTGTCTTAAAACTGGACCTTTTTTAAAAATTCTATTTCAGTTGATGACATCAAAGCATAAACCTTTAAACTTTTTATTTTTATAAAAGTTGAGTGGCCCTCCTTGAGCTCCAGGGGGTACACCCACTGGATGTTGTTGATTTATAAGTCTCTCCTTGGACTGGTCCCTTCCTCCCTCTGCGCCCCTCTGCAGAAATCAAGAAGTGCCTATGCCTTACGGTCCTGTGCAACTTATCATTTAAATGTGCCCAGAGTCCGAACTGAATTGGGGAAACTGGCTTTTTGTTATTCTGCCCCCACAGCCTGGAACACGATACAAACAGAGCTGAAAATGCCAGAACTGGTTTCATTTAGTGATGGGCACGGCAGTTCTTTTAGATGTATTGAGTCACTAGAATCAGTTCACTAAAAAGATTAGTTCAAAAGATTCATTCACTGAATCAAAGAATCATGTAGCTCTTGGTGGGAGAAGCCTGCGACTCCGACCTCCTGATATGATACACAGCTGAACAGTTCAGGATTCAGTTCAGATCAAAGCTTCTAGGACCGGGAGACGAGAGTGTTTGGCTGTGTTGCTTTGGCAAACAGGTTTGTAAAAATGAACTTGTTTATAAGTCATGATGTTTTAAGTGTGCTGTCCTATAGTATGCTATTTATCAGGTCTGCTCAGTAAATTAGGTCAGTGAGTGATTCGTTCACTGAACGTTTAGAAGAATTCAAACTGAACATTCACCGTTCCCTCGCAAACCGCTGCACTGATAGAATGCTGCGGGTTTAATGCACTACTTGTAACATGCTGTGTCCTATTGTATGCAAGTTGTTGTGGTGGCAATTTAGCAATTAAAAAATAAAAATAAAAAAAGGTAGTTTTGTCTAGCAAAAATGATTCCAGAGAGTGTAGTTAAACGCGTGATTCGTTCACAAAGTGATTCAGGTGTCGGTGCATGTGGTCCCTCGTTCGCCGGCTGCTGGCCTGGCAATGCTGTTTCTCACTTCAGCTCAACTGAAGGAAGTGATTCGGTTCAGTACATTCACTTAAAAGATTTGGTTCTTTTGAACAAATCATTCGCAAACAACACATTATTAGTTTCATTTAAAGACTTTCGTTCCATTGTATTCACTAAGCAACGAGAATCCTATGATTGTCCCAAAATGTTTGTTGCACTTTAACTGTGAATTTGTTGTTTGTTCCCTTATATTTATTGCATTTATTATGACATTTGCTGCTGCTGAGCTCTTGGCCAGGTCGCCCTTGTTAATAAGATCATGATCTCAATGGGATTTTACCTGGTTAAATAAAGGTAAAATAGGACAAACTGGTCAAAAATGCTAGATTGACGGGGCCCTTGAGAGAGTTTGCCCAGGACCCCAAAAAAGTCAGTGCCACCCCTGCTGACACGAAACATCACAGTTAATGACATACATTAAATTTGATAAACAATGCTTATTATTCACGTCATGTTAAACATTTAATGCCAAATTTGCCAGACAAATACTCATATTCTTTAAAAATTTGAGGTTGATTAAGAATTATTCGCTCATCCCTGTAAAACCTCTATCTCTAGCTGAATGCACATTTCACTCAGCTTTATTCCTGTATACCTTGTAAATAGCCCATGGAAGGTTAAAAAACATATTTTGCAATGCTACTCAAGATACAAATTAGGATTTAGTGTGCTTTTTAGTGCCATCATTGGAGCTATAGTTCACAGTGTATGAGGAAAACAAACACCTACAGGCTATTAGGACTTCAGCCTATTGGCAGTGCAGTGCTGGACACATTGCAAAACACTGAATGACAAATACAAAGCCTGCCAGTATTGCCTGGTGGTCTTGCAATGCAATTATAATCCAATGACTGTTCAAAGCCTGTGACCATTCTTCAACTATGCTGATGCATTTAGAAAAGCCATATGGTAAATAATTAGAGCTGCAAAAGCTTTGTGTGGCTGCTGAATAATATATGAGCGCAAAGGCTGGCAGACACACATGAAAAAAAGGGAAACAAACATAAATGGAGACAGAAACATGCTGTACATCTACACTGCTCTCCATCACACACATACCTACACACCCAGACATGCTTAAATAATCAAAGCAAGAAAAAACAAGTTCAAGTTAATCACTTAACTTACAAGACGTATAATGAAACCATCTTTTTATGACTGGAGAAGTTCAAAAACAGGGATTGAATCGGCTGATTTGATCCTTAAATAAGAGCTTAATAAGAAGAGATTACCTGCCGCCTGAGTCTATGAACAGTTTATGATTACCTTGGAAACAAACGTCCAGAAAAAGCAGCTCTGATGATACCAGACATGAGCATCAGCTTTGTGAGCTGCCAAAGAATAAACACTGTGCGCAGATTTAGAAAACTTTTTACTGATTTTATCAAAGCCGTTCATTAAAATCTCATTTTGATTAAATTTTAAAGCACTGTTGCAGAACACTTTGTACTCAAGATTAAGGAGTTTAAGGAGTTTGGCCGCGTTTGAATTCTCACAGCAGCAACCCGTCTGCTGGATGCTTAAGCTGGTTGGCTGCCGTAGGACGGGGGAACGTTGCACAATGGAAGCGATGTTGTGATGAAATGTCAACTTAGGCAGTACAGGTGAATCATTCATGGCACGCAAGTAAGCAGGCAAATTGTGATTATCAAGTGCAACCTGTGTGCTCACACTTCTCAAGAAGGCATATGCCCGGATTCAGATTTGTCCTCATTATTCTTATTATGAGTTGGACTGGCTGTGTTGGACTTTTTAAAAGTGCAACAAACATATTTCATTAAGTAACTCTAGGTTCAGACTGATTCTGAATCTGCGTATTTAGATATTTGATTATCAATGAACTTGCAGAGCTGTATTTCGTGCATTAAAGGGATATTTCAAGCATAAATCTATATTATGGTCCAACACACCATAACACCGAGTTGGACACCCCCCCCCCCCAAGAGATGAATGTTGCCGACTGCTCGCCTCTCTAGTTATACCAACTTTAGTAACGACCGCACGATAGCAATACACAGCGGTCTATGTCTCTACGTGCAAACCTCAACCAAAAAGCCACTCTATATCCACAAATAATGCTCAGAACAGCACCTAACTTCATCAACAGAACATTTAGAGTCCCAGCCATAGTACTAGCCATCAAATATATCTTTAACTTTGCCTGATTTCTTTAGCAAAGAGACCAAACACAACTCACCCACTCTCCTCCGGCAGCTGCTTGTTTGTTGGGGGAGCCCTGACGAGTCGATCACTGAGTGCAGCAGATCATTTTCATGAAGTAATAATCATCATAATAATCATTTTGCACTGCAGACGCGGTAGTTCTTCTGCCTCACTTTCTTTTCTAGTTGCACCTAGACGTGATTTTTTTTTTTTTTTGTAGGACGGTAGGGGAAAGTTCCGCCTCCTTCACCTTTGATTGGCTAGAAAAGCTGGAATCGTCATCACACACTCAAGCCAAATGAGGGTTGTCAGCCTGTACATCGAACAGAACATTACAGAAAATTATCACTCTTCTGAATCTCCTAACCCTAATCCTAACCCGACAGACAACAACCAATCAGAGCCCAGAACTTCTAGCCAATCAGAGGCGAAGGAGGGCGGGAGCTTCCCCTACCATCCAACAACAAAAAAATTCGCCACCTGGACAGATCTTTGTTATTGACTGAGTAGTAGTTAGTAGTTCTTTTACATTTCCAGCATGTTTCTCTGCTACATGTTACTTTAGATTCATAGAGTTTTCTTATCCTGGCAGTAACAGAAGCTGGACAAGATAGCACATGAGCGAGCACACAAGCCAGCTAACTTGAACAAATTATAAGGGCCTTATATTTATTTATATAACATGTCTTCCTATCCATCTCCCGAACCCTAATGCAATGCAGACTGTACTTGGAGTCCAATCTGAGTTGAAACTGAGTCAGAGTCCTCTATTCCTGATCCCTTTATACATTTATCCAGATCCCCATTCACTGCCAGTAATGCAGCAGCTACACAAGTCCTGGACTCAAGTACTCCAAAGCTGACAGAAAGTAAGACTATTTCTGGATGCTCTTGTTTTGTTTTGCTGTGGTGTTTCAGTCAGGTTAGGGGGTATGAATCTCCTAAAAAAAAACAATCTGTTTTTGGAAGTCGGTTCTGTCAAATGAGTAAAAAAAAAACCTGCAACTGTAATCCCAGAGAAGTGGTTTGATCGTCATTGCTGCCTTCTTTAAAAGTTCACTTGCACTTATCTAAACAAAAACCACATTTTTTTCCCTGTATATGAGGTTTTGGGGCCCTGACTGCCTTAATGTAACTGCTGCTGATTCACACAGTTAATTGTCAGTTGCACAAGTGATGAAAATTTGACATATGGCTTTAATTCAACAAGCTCCTGCTAATTTTTTGAGATACATGGAGCATCATATTTTAGACACATGGCTAACAGCCAAGATACCCAGAATCCGTTGCCATCTTTTCTGACACATTCACTCACACACATTCAATAAATCATCTCCGAATATGTTTTAAAGTAGCCTGGCAGAGGTTTCGCAGGACTTCAGCAGGGAAATATCATCAAAGTGAAGGAGCTGGCATTATTTGTAAGAACCGTGCCATCTGTTCACCTGGACATCTCCATGGTGTCCTTGGTGAGATAGACGATCCAGTAGACCAAGTTGAAGGCGCCAAACGAAAGTGGGAAGAGGATACGGGAGTATTTGTCGATGATGCTGGTGCCAGTCAGGACGTTGTTGGCCGGTACGGCTGAACCCTGCTGTAGAAAGGCCTGGGCATTGACGGGTGGGTTAGGAAATGTTTTTGCAGGGCGGTCAAATATAGGGGCAGAGTTCATCCTCTTCTTCAGAACACTGCTGGCATCCACCTTGGAGAGGAAGGGAGGAAACATATAGGATATGTTAGAGGGATTTCACATTAAAGAGAATATTGCATGGTGTAATATAAGGGTATTAATAATTAACTCGTACTCTGCTGTTGTACCTAGGGCATTATAAAATGTTGTATTTTATGTTCTAATAATGTCGTAGAAACTGGTTCCTTATGAAAAAGTTCAACATCTTATCATAAAAGATTATCTTATAGCATAATTACAAAAAGAAAATTAAGCCAAATTATGCAATAAGAAAAAAAAAAATCAAGAATTATCTTGTCCTGATGTTAAAGCTGCATTTACACAGCTGAGAGCTGATCAGTGAATGGGAAATGTGCTCGTGTCTCTACAAAAATCCGTCTGGAATACCAATGAGTACCAAAGTAATTAAGCCCAACAAAGGAAATCAATGATGTTTTGTTTCTGATTTGATGTGATTTCAATCAGCCCCGTCCATGAAGATTGATGCAGTTGTGGGAAGCAAAACAAAACGTATTAAACAAGAGAGGCTCACAGTGTATTGACACATGGTTATCGCTATGCCTCATCAACTTTCAGTAAACCAGCAAGATCTCAGCACATGCTCCCTGCTCCAATAGTTGTAAATCAGCTACAGTATCTGTACGGAGAGAGAGAGGGAGGGAGAGTACGCCTGGGAAATGGGTCAAGGAACACAGAGTTGCCTGTAGGTAGAGTCAGAGAGAGTGAAATAGAGGAGCTTCCCTTTATATAAAAACCCCAGAAGATGGTATGCATTTGTGTGCTGAAGGACTATATAAATAAACAGGATTGAGGATCAAACAAGCTCTTTGTATCTTGGAGTGACTCCATTGATTTCTTATGCAACTAAGTATTGTGAGGAGTATGTAATGTTCTGTTCTCTGAAGACGGAGTGATTTTGACAATGTAGATTTAAGAGGGTCGCACTGTCTCGCAATATTTTTTCTTCTTTTTGACTTTGTGTAAAATTATTTTATAACAACACGCAAGATCTTTGAAATTGAAGTTGTGGTTAAACATACCATAACACCAAGTTATACACCCCCTGGAGATGAATGTTGCAGACTGTTTGCTTCCCTAGTTATACCAACTTTAGTAACGACCGCACGATAGCAATATACATTGGTCTACGCCTCCATGTGCAAACCTCAACCAAAACGCCACTTTATAGCCACAAACAATGCTCAGAACAGCACCTAACTTCATCAGAGCAGCAGAGTTTTGCAGCTCAAGGAAGAACATTTATGATTCTTACTTTATGGAATGCAATCAGACCGAGACACAGTCTTAAATAGATAAGACTGTTGCAGACATTAGGGTAGAGTATATGAGCCAGTTTAAGTTATAAATTATTCCTCTCTAGTATATAGGACTGCAAAACCTAGATTTCACCCATCTGTCCTGATTCCTGCTGTTGGGCACACTTTGTTCACATTCGCTTTTGGCCAAACTGCAATCTTGGAGCAGAACTAAATTTATGAGATTTAGGCTGGATTTGCATGACCACAGGATTACATGTCCCCCCAAAGGTTGAGGAACTCTGACAGCCCTCTGGCCAAGGAGAGCTCTTCAAACCGTAAAAGCTGGCCAACTCAAACGAGGACTTGTTTAGCTTCATGGATCGTTGATTTGGACCAAATTTGACATACTTAAAAATGCAAGATTCAAATTAATGTAAAATTAATAACTTCCCTGAATGTTTATAATTAAATGATGCTGTTTTGATCTGACTTTGAACTGCTGCTCTTTCACAAAGACAGTCATTTATTTGTGATGCTGCTATCTTTAGATGTTCAACTTTTGACTGCTGATTTGATATAGTGGGATCTTTCTGTCGCTGCAAATCTCTATGACGGTTCAACGTCAGGAGTGAGTGTAACCATGGAAACATGCAGCTAACAGGGAGAAAAGAGAGTCATATACAGCAGGGCATCTTTTCTCTTTACATCTGAACAGAAGCTCAACATATAGAGGGTGGTGCTCTATAGATTAAGAGATCTTTCTATGTATATACTCAGTGAAAAATCATCTTTAATTAAAATGTTCAGCTTATAGTTGACAAGTACCAGGCGTCAGAGAGACAATAAAGGGGCTGACATGGTGAAAAAGTGTATCATATCCTCAGCTTCTTCTGGCTTTGTCTGTGGTAGAGAAAATGAATAGATGGATAAATAAATAAATTTCAACCTCTCACAGAAAAAAAAAGAATAAAAGAGTCATTGTGACATAGCAGAGCGGGTACAACAGAACTGATATAGATTTGTTGAACATTACAATAGCATGAGAGGCAGGAATGGCTATTAAAGGGAGTGGGTCCAGATGATCTGACAGCTGGTCATGCTATTGTTAAGCTGACTCATCACTTGATGAAAATGAATGCCTCTATCTGATTGCTTAGTATGTTTCCCAATGTGGAATAACAGCTAATGTATAAGGTCAAGGTTAATTAGTATATGGGGACTAAAACTCAAATAGAGGTTTATTTGTTTCCTATTGTGACTGGTTGGTGTCCTAAAGTCATGGATGTATAAAATGTGGAATACTTATAAAATACCTGATTTCAGTCATGTCATTGGCTGGTTTGTAAGTAGGGGCTGTATCCTTCCTCCTGTGTTAGCTTTTACTATACACCCACTATGTTAAGGGTCGGTTTTGACCCGTGTCTTAAATCAGCTGCAAATGACACTAAAAAAAATCCTCTATCATCCAATTTGGTTCTCATCTCTAGGTTACCTTGTTAGGTATTATCCATGAAAATATTGCTTATGATAGTTTTTGTAGTGGGCCTCTGCACCTTTCTTTGTCAGTATACCCCTCATACAGATATCTATACTTCATTGCCCGACGTTGTTTTTTTGTGCAGGTAAAAACATGGTTAAATGAGAATTCCCTAAATCTCACATGATTGGAAAAGGATCTTACTGTCAGTGCGGTGCCTGTCAGTGCCCTTATGATTTCAATTTTTGCTCTAATCATTGATATTTAATCTAACCGGGTCAACAGCGACCCTAACATGACACGTGCCATAATTTTATTAAGAGCATTTTATAATTTAGCCAATTGGATTTTTTTATTTTCATTTTGTTGAAATAGAGGTTCCTGATAAATTCAAAACGTCTTGATGCAAAAAAGCTAGTTTATGTGGTTCTTTTAAAAACAAAAACAGTCCAGTGCAGACCCTAACACACGAGGAGAGGGTAAAGCCCAGTAGTGGTGGCAGCCATATTGAAAATGCTGATTTCTACTTCCAACTCACGTAGAAACTGGAAAAAAGGTTCAAATCTGGGAGGGCTTTATCCCTGCTGGCAAACATCTGCAACGTTTTCCACCTTTTGGCTTTAAATCCTGCTGCAGCTTCATGTATATGTGCTTCCCAATGCTGTTTTCTCTCAAAGTAAAGATCAGAAGTGCATTGCAAGCAGCAATATCATGCAGGGAAAAATAAAGCCTTGGGGGTGTCAGAGTCTGCCTCCAAAAAACCAATGGGTGGCATCACAGAGACCGTGTCCATATGTCCATATTGTCCCATTCACACCACATTCCCACACTGATGGCAGAGCCTGCTGCGTAAAGCACCCATGAGCAGCAGCCATGCCGCAAATTGCTCATGTTGGTCCCACTTCTCTTTATCCACTGCTTTGTTATTCATTAGCCCCACTTTGACACAGGTATGACAGATGGATGTCAGGAGGAGGACTAGGATAAGTTAGTCATGTGTTTTGAGGGAGGGGGATGGAAGCTACATTGAAGAGCGCTCATGAGTGTCGGTGTAAAGTTACTCTATCTGTGCACTGCTCATAAGGCAAAGAAAAAGGTTTATGGAGGTTAAACTCTGTAGGTGTTGTGTAGGAGTGAATACACATTTGGATCATTATTAGTGGGTGGCAGTTATAGATATATGTATATTAATGTACCTTCTCTATTGATTCATCCGAGGCATGGCAACAAGTGTCTTGGATATACAGCTTTAACACTCTTTTCATTGTTATGTTCATAAAACATCAACAGAAGGGAGTGCTGGATAAATAAACCTGAACCTCTGACAGATAGAATAAAGCTGATTGTTAGCTGCATATAGAAAAGCACTTAATGCATTCACAGTTTGCATTTATACCATCTACTGTCAGTGAAAGTGGTTCTCCAAGTGTGGCCATTGTTAGCAAGGCTAGCACTAAAAGCGTCTGGTCTTCCTTGCAGACTAACATTGTAGGGCTGTAAAGTCCTAGTCGACTTATTGGTCAACATGCTGAGTTGACCAAAGTTCTGAATAGTCGACCAAGAACTTCTTTGGTTGATTACAGCCCTAGAATATTCACATGTCTGGAATCATTGAGATTATTCAACCAGACAAAGCCTATGCCCACCTTATCTCCAATTCAAACTGTGCAGCGCTGCAGGATACAAACTACCTGCTGTGTTTGTTTACATCCAGATAGTAGAGTATCATAGCATTGTGGCTTTTGGCTGGAGCTACAGGCCTAGTTAGATGGAGGAGAAAACGCTACTTACTTTAATTGACTAGTAATTAGGGCTGGGCGATAAACCGAAAATTTACCGATACCAAAATTTATGACAATAACAGACGTCATTTTGCCAATGTCAGTTTATTCGGTGTCAAATAAGTGAATAAATAAAAGTTGGTTTTGGATGTGTGTAGGTAGGCTATGGTCTCATGTCCCTCTAAGACGCTGTCCTACGTCAGAGACATGACTCCACCCCATCCAGTCCATAACAAAGATGGAAAGACAGATGAGGAGATATCCTGATATTGCTTTGAGGCCATATCACCCAGCCCTACTCGTAATTCTGGTGCAGCATGTGATCATATAGTCGAGTTAATGCACACATCCCTATTTCTTTAGTCGGACATGACATTGGGGCAAAGACAACAAGGAATACCATAAATGTTCAAGTTCCCGTGACAGTCCAGATGTGTGTCAAAGATTTGGTGGTTTTAGCCCAAAACCAAAATCCAGCCATGAACCAGGTCATCAAAGTGACTCCTGAAAGTTTCACAGGCTATATACAGACCCATCAAAGTACTAAATGTGTATGTTTTCTTGTTTTTAAACCCATTTTATTAATTTCAGCTCCCTTTCCTATCAATTTTCTTTTTCGTTTGTGTATTTTGGAGATGCCTTTGTCTCTGAATTTGCTGCCACTTTCTCTCAGTTTAATTCTTCATGGTTCGTGTATTAGAAGTGTTGCCACTGTATATATATGCAAATCAGAGCAAGAACAACACCTCAGACTTTCCTGCCAATTGAGATTCCCAACACTTTGTAATGCAAGCCATGAAACACAAAAACCACCACACAGAAACAAAATACCAGACTGGCATTTACCTCAATGATTTCCAATGTTGATAATAAATGTCTCCTTTTAGTTTCACACTCTTCCACGCATCTATGATACACAGCGTATTTGTTGTTAGTACCTTTTCCAACCTCAAAAATAGTAACAGTCCTTCTAACTAATAAACAGTGCACTCTGATGTAAGGTCGAACTCACAAAAATAAAAGTATCCTGCTTGAACACGCACGTCGCCTCACCTGAGCAGCGTTAACCAATCGTGTGAGTGCTAGCACCTGTGGCTGAGCCTATAAATAAGGGTCTCCTTCTTTTTCTTTCGCTCTCTCTTTCTTTCTTCTTTTCCTCCCACGACTGTTTTTATTTTCTGTTAATTTCCTGCACCACATACTGCACCACCTACACACACACACCACACTGACAATGCATGCAGTGCCCTTTACACACACTGACAAACACCCCCTTCGCCTTTGTGCTTATGGTTGTATATTTTATTCATTAAACACGCCATCTATCTTATGTTTGCTGTGAGGTTTCCATCCTTGTTACAGCTGTACCTGACAGTCACAACAGGTCGTAGTGTTTTAAATCGTGACGAGTGGAAGGCTATTTCTATTCCCAATGATACACCATTGTTTTTTTTTCTTTTTTTCCCTTTTTTCACTGTGTAATGAAGAGTCTTCCCTCCTACATATTTGTTGAAAGCAGTCATTTTCCATGATGCATCCCTCCCACTCTCTCTTTCTCTCAGTGAAACTCGTTCTCATGCACATACAGAAAGCACACAGCAGAAAAACAAACCACGCTGGCCCCTCGCATCCATCTCTCTGTGCCCGCTCAACAGAAAGCCACGCTGGGCCAGCTATCTCAACACCACCCTTAATCGGCCTCATTGTGGTGGCTGCCCTCCTCCTCCTTTTGAACCCTCAGTGATCTGCCGGATATTCCCTTAATCTATGGTTCTTACATAATCTGCGGCAACATCGTTTACAGAGTCCCTGCCTGTCTCCTCGTGTCACTCTCTGCAGTTATCTCTTAGTTATGGGGCAGAATAGAGGACTGGGCAAGAGGGATGGACGGATGATAGATAAACTGCGGATGGATGGATGGATGAGTGGATGAGTTATTGTATTGAGTGATTACTGATATGTATGGATGAGAGGGGCTTCATGTACTTCAGATTATGCGCATGTGTATATTAGTTTGAGTTTGCACTAGGGATTACGTGTTGATGTGTCGGACTAAGAGGCACAAATATAGCGGACATGATTTCTTGTGATATATTCAAGCAAAAAGAAAAAGGAAAGAGGCAAAAGAAGTGTGATGAAGAGATGTGTTTGTGTTTGCATGTGGGATAAAGAGAGAGAGGGAGTGTGTGTGTTCAGAGCATGGAAGGCTCACATGAAGAGCACAGCAGGGAGCTGGAATAAACACAGAAAAAAAGCCGGATAATGTCACATGTTAGTACAGTTTTTCTGTGTGTGTGTGTGTGTGTGTGTGTGTGTGTGTGTGTGTGTGTGTGTGTGTGTGTGTGCATGCTTAAAGGGGGGAACCAATAAAGGACATTTAAAAGCAATAGTGGACCTAATACAATGATTTGAAATGATATAATATATGATGCAATAGGATTCAATACCATACATTTTGATACTAAGGAATAATAAATGACATGATACAGAACAACACGATAGGAAAAGCTGGAATAGTGCGACAAAACATTGCAATAGAATGACGCACGATATGATAACTGCAATGTGATACATAACAACGCAACATACTGCGATGTCCACATGGGAAGATCTGTCATGATGTAAAGATTTGTCTTTGCGATTATTTTGTATCCAGCAGGCCAACACTGGAAGGACTGAAAACTATACATAATCACGAACATGATATGATATGATATGATACGAAACGATACAATCTGATACAGTACGATACGATACGATACAGTATGATACAATATAGTTTGATATGATACAATACGGTATGATACGATACAACCCGATACGATACGATAAAATACGATACAATACAATTCAACACTAAACAATACAACTGAAAACGGTGGGATACAAAATAACACCATGCAATAGGATGCAGTATGATACCACACAATATAGTACAGTAAGAAATGATACAGTGAGGCACAACACAACATGATACTGTACAATACAATACGATGCAATATATGACATGACACAATTTGGTATGGTCCAGTAAGATTTGATTCTGTCCAATTGTTTATCAGGAGATTAAAAAGCGTTCATGTTCATGTACCTATAAGCTTCCTTTTTACGAGGAGTTAGAATCACCAGTTGCCCCACGATGAGATAATATCACGATACCTGGGCCACGATATGATATTGTATTGTATTGCGATACAATATATTGCAATTTGTTCAACTGTTTAGCTAATTTAGCATTTGTCTTTACTTAACGTCCGTCTTATTTACAACGTATCTTATTTTCATGTACTACACCTTGCAAACTTTATGTGTCAGGTCCATGTCATTTGTGCCCTGTTTGCATTCCTCATGTCTTTCCCCAAGTGCTGCTTTATTTGTTGCTTTACTTTTTCCTGCTCTATAATGTCACCTCTGCCAACTTCACTGGACAAACAGTTGATTTTATTTTTCCATTATCATAGATTTGACTTCATATTAGCAATTAATATGAAAAAATCGATTCTTGATAAATGAGACGATACAATATATCATCAGACAAAATATCGCTATACCACGCTGTATTGATTTTTTCCTCCCACCCATAGTTACAACTAGTTCTTTCACTGCTTTCTTTTTCCTTATCCACTCTTTACTTTATCCCATGTGAAGCAGATGTGTTTACATACCGTGCAAATAAAGTAAATTGAAATAGAAAAAAAAACAGCGAAGTGAAAGTGTTACATAAGGGCAAACAGCTGAGGAAGGATTAAGACGGAAAAAGAGACAAACAGAAAATGACAGACAGGAGGAGGACGTCGAAACAAGATTAGCAAGTGACAAGAACTGAGCAAGTCGAACTCCAAAGATGAAAGACGCATGATGAGTGTGGAACAGAGCAGAAAGACACAGGATTATATGTATAAATCTAGAAATGTACCCAACTTCAGTACTGCAGGCTACAGGAAATGTTTTATTTATTTGGGTTAACCCAGTTTACACCTTTGAATGAGACACACTGCAACAGATGTTGCATCACGTCCTCTCCGAGACAAAACACAGCCGAAAAGCAGAACAGACTATAACTACAACGCTGTATGACTTTCACCAATGTTTACAGCATAAACCCTTTCTAAGATCAAGCTATAGATTTGCTGAACAAACATCCATAAAGCTCACTTCTGACTGACAAGTTGTTGTTAGTAAAACCTGAATACCTGCAGCCTTTCAGTCTGTTTATCCTGGCAGGTCTATAATATCAATCAAATTATCTAAGCATGATTTATTTTTGTCAGAATATAGTTTGAGTTTCAGGTATGAAGGACAAAAAGAAAAAAATGAAATATATAAATACGTCTTTAAATAAATACTAAAATGTGTCATAAATTTATTGAAATATCATTTCATTCAATGTAAAAACATATATAATTATTTCACTATCTAACTAATTATTTCATGGACCTGTATTGCAGTGTGTCATGAATTTATTTCATCCGTCAAACTCTCTTATCAAAGTCAGTAGGCGGGACTAATGCTGATCTAGTGTGATCCATTACTTCGGTCTAAAGCCCAAAGTCTTTCAAACAAAGCGTCTATAGAGGAAATGCTTCGAACTTTCTGAGGAGTTGGTTATTGATATTTTAGACCTAGCAGAGTTTGTGAAAGCCTTCGTCCACCAGCTCTGAGTCTGCACCAAATGTCGCAAAGGTAGATGCCAGTGAGTGCGAGCCGGCTGTGCGCTTGTAGGCCTATCTCTCTTCCTCTCTCTTTGCGGATTAGTGTGTGCATGTGCATGTGTATGTGTAGGGCAGGCATGGATGGAAACTCGCACTTAGGATGGAAAGAAACAGTCCTGCTTATCTCTGGTGCACTTTCAGTTGGTATTATGCTGTGTTCATTGATACTGTCCCATTTGAATAAACAGTGAGGCTCTGCAGGGTCGTTAGTAATTGTACTTTACACTGGGGTGGCATGAGATTTTATGCAGTTTTAAAAGGTGCTGTGATCGAAAAAAGTTTAAGTATGCTGACCAAGAGCATGTAGACTGTAAAGCAGAGGAATTAAGTGACTTTTTTGAAGTTATTCCCACACTCTTTAACTAAGATATTGACCGTATTGACCGCTGCATCAATCCATTATCTGGAGTCGATTTGTCTTAACTTGATGTGCCGGGTAACCAATCAGGTGTTAGGATCTGCCCACTAACTTTGATGGGTGAGTTTGACGGATAAAATAAATTCATGCAGCACCGCAACACAGGTCCATTAAAAAATTGATTAAATAGTCAAATAATTATATATGTTTTAACATTGAATGAACTGGTATTTCAATACAGTAATGACACATTTATGTATTTATTTCCTATTTTGATTAATTAATGACATGTAAGCATTTATTTAAAGATGTATTTTTAATATTTCATTTGTCTCTTTTTTGTCCTCCATATAAGAAAAAATCTCATGACACTATTCTTATCGGCAAAGAAATGCAGATATCCATAAGAATAAGCATGAATAATTGAACGCTCTAAGCTTTAGTGTGTTGTAAGTCAGTTCATAACAAAGCCAATGGCTAAAGCTGAAATACTTTCAACAGAAGGAAAAGCCAGTGCACGAAAGTCCACCCTCTGCTCCAGTCCACGTTGGGTGACCACTGATCAGCTGACTCTTACGATTTTAGCCAAGCATAAACTGTTAATTTGGTGCAGTTAAAGGGATATTCTGGCGTAAAATTAAGTTAGGGTCAAACACACCGTAACACCAAGTTAAACACCCTGTCAACGGATGGATGTTGCCGACTGTTTGCTTCTCTAGTTTTACCAACTTTAGTAACGACTGCACGATAGCAATAAAGAGAGCCACGGGTGAGTTGTGTGGCTCTCTGTATTGCTATCTGCACTTGTTACTAAAGTTGGTATAACTAGAGAAGCAAGTGGTCTGCAACATTCATCTCTCGACAGGGTGTTTAACTCGGTGTTACAGTGTGTTTGACCCTAAATTAATTTTACTCCGGAATGTCCCTTTAAGACAACTCTTTCACAATTGCTGTTCTATGCCCAGAACTCTTGCACTCCTTCTTTTAAAACTGTATCATATGTTGCTTACTCAAACCCACTCTATATAAGACAACCACAAGGCTACATCAAATTTAGATGTTGCCCACAAGGCAGGTCAGAGAGCAGACTAGGGTAGATGGACTAGAATAACATCCTTTTGCAGTTTTTAAACTCTGGGGACATAAGCATGCATGCAGTTTGGCAACAGACGTATGGCGTAATGCAATGGGCTGTCGGGCAAATGGACACCCAATATAGTGACTGCTGTTTAAGCAAGCTGACTTAAACAAATGGTCAAAAACTTCCAGATCCAGCAGTGAGTTGGACGGATGACTCAAGAAACTTGCCAAATACTGAGTTAAAAACTCTCTTTCAAATGCCTTCAGTCTTCAGTCTTTCATCACAGACGTGTTTGATGAGTATATACCAGAACTAAAGTGGAAAAATAAATAAGGGTGAATTTGCAAGACCTCCTCTGTGTTTCAACAGATGTTGTAACTAAGACAACCACAGGCATATTTGGCTCTAAAAATCAAAACCCTGTCAGCTCTGAAACAGACATGATCTTATCAGAATCCTCCATAGCTCAAGGCAACCATAGTGGTTTTGGTTCCGGAAACATACGCCTATCGATGATTTCAGCAAAGAGATGAAGATTCTTTAAAAACGGTGCACCTCACCCAGTTGCAGCTCAGCAGCACATTCATGTTCAGTGTGAGTAAACATCAATGAGGTTTCTCCACATGAATACAACCAGCCTGTTACACTTGAAAGCCAAGGTATGAAACAACAAGTCATCAGGACTTACAGAGGAAACTTCTGTGTCGTTCCCCGTGGCTGCAGCCGGAGCTACAGCTGCAGCTGCTGCCTCCTGTGCCGCTGCCTTCATGGCTGCCGCCTTTCGCATCTCCCGGTTGGCTTGCAGAGTAGAGAAGTAGTTGACAGCTGCAAACTCAATCAGGGCGGAGAAGACGAAGGCGAAGCAAACAGCAATAAACCAATCCATGGCTGTGGCGTAGGAGACTTTGGGGAGAGAGTGGCGGGCGCTGATACTGAGGGTTGTCATGGTCAGGACAGTGGTGATACCTGCAAACAGTGAGGAGACAGAAGTTAAGAATGACACAGTGTTTGTCATTTCATCTCTTTGAACCTTGCTTTTTGTGGCAGGAGCCCTGACAAGTCGATCACAGAGTGCAGCGGAGTTTCGCAGCTCAAGGAAGAACATTTATGATTATTACTTCATGGAAATGCAATCAGACCGAGACCCAAAGGCAGAAGAACTCCTGCGTCTGCAGTGCAAAATGATTATTATGATTATTACTTCATGAAAATGATCCACTGCACTCAGTGATTGACTTATCAGGGCTCCCCCACAAACAAGCGGCTGCTGGAAGAGAGTAGGTGAGTTGTGATTAGTTTCTTTGCTAAAGAAATTAGGCAAAGTTAAAAAGATGTTTGACGACTAGTACTATGGCTGGGACCCTATATGTACTGTTGATGAAGTTAGGTGCTGTTCTGAGCATTATTTGTTGCTATAGAGCATATATTGCTATATATTGGTTGAGGTTTGTGCATGGAGACGTAGACCGATGTGTATTGCTATCGTTCAGTCGTTGCTCAAGTTGGTATAACTAGAGAAGCAAACAGGCGCCAACATTCATCTCTCGAGGTGTTACGTTGTGTTTGACCATAACTTAATTTTAAACCAGAATACCCCTTTAACAAACATCTAAAGACCGAGACTGTGGTGTTACTTTGCTTTTTTTTCTATAAGCCACCTCTAGAACAGTAACAACCAGCGATTAATGTAGGATACATTATGTCTATAAGGCTCAAAATGTTGCATTACCCCTTTAGTGTCATTGAATTAAAGTGAAATGATGGATGTATCTGAATTGACAGACATTATTTACCATTGACCTTGCTCTCAGCTAGATGAGCAGCGACGCTCTAGGAAGATGAGGAGTATCTGGATGTCTTTGTTTGTTCCTGGTTATCATGTGACTCGACACATGGGAATGTTTGTCAATGAACAACAATAGAGGGGCCTGATTATGAAAGATCACAGCAACCAGCTTCAATTGAATAAAGAACGAAATATACACTCAAAGACGTGCACAAGAGCACATGAAAATAAATGTATTTAATATACTGCCATGTAAATTTTCCATCCAGCCCTTTATTTGACCTTAGCGCACCTTTTCTCACAACCAACAGATCGAATCTGTTGAGTCCTCTAACCAAAGGCAGCAAGCAGCAACTGCAGCATCTCTTTTTGGAAATTGCCATTTCATCTCTCTTTGCAAAATCAACCATCTGGCAAAGAATGTCTGGGATCACTTCAGCAATGCAGAGAGGAAGCAATTGAAGAACCCTTGTCTTCAGTATTTATTAGCTGCAGACACGATTCAAAGCTGGAAGGATGCAACTTTATCACTGAAATGTGAAATTTTGAATTTAAGGCGCTACATAAATCATTTATTGATTCCTATAAATAGATTCTGCATAAATAATGTCAAATCTCTGCTTTGGGTCCTGACTTTAGTACTATGTAGTTGTAGTACTAACAGGCTTTGGTGTATGCAGGAAAAACAGATAAGCAAAAGCAGGTGGAACACAACCCACTGTAACAACATCCTGGCCATTATTAGCAGTAATATCATGATAGTTCATTCATCTCCATAAAGAGATACCACTATCTGTGGAGAAATGTCCAACAGGGTTTAGATTTCCAGACTTCCTCGAATGCATCAGAAATGACTTCCTACTCCAGGGAGTTAGTTTGACCCAGTTGATAAGCAAGTACCCAATGTACAGAGGCTACAAACCTCAGCATGGACACCTGGTCCTGGTCCTGTCCTATCAAAATAAAAGGCAAAAAGTCCTAGAGAAATGAGATCCTGAATTCCTTCCTTAAGGTTTATTCACGATGTTACTTTCAAAGCCTTGGACATATTCACTGTAGTAAATCGCAAGAAAATGTGTGTCCTTGTGGTTCATATTGATAAAGAAAGCCAGACTTAAGTGCTCGTAACCTGATATTTCAAATGAAACTGAGACCTCCCAGAAACACAGATGAGAGTCACTCATGGGGAACATAAAAAACAAAGATATTATCTGTTGACATGGTCAGCTTCTGTGCTTATATTGGATTAGGGCTGGGCGATAAATCGAAAATTTACCGATACCTGAATTTACGACAATAACTGACGTCATTTTGCCCATATCGGTATATTCAGTGTCAAAAAAGTGCGTACATAATAGTTGGTTTTGGATGTGTGTAGTTAGTTACCAAGAAGAATACCAAGAAGCTGGCCATTACTTTCTTCAGGCAATCCTCATTGTGAGACAGCTACAACTGTGTTTCAAGCTTGATTGCCTATTGACCACTTGAACGTCCAGTTTACTCAATAAGAGTCCTCTTTCGTCTTAGTAATTAAGCACATACTGTTTACAGTAAGGCTGTATTAAAAATACATGTACCATGTAGTGGTACAGTGGCAGTGGTAAGTGTAAGATTAGACGAGCGCAATCAGGTATGCCTGACATCGGACAGTGGATCTGTTTAGTGCTGCAACTAACGATTATTTTTTTGTCTACTAATCTATCGACTAGTCGTCCGATTAATCACGATTAATCACGATTAATCACTATCTTCTTTATTTATAAACACCTATTTCCGGAGTGTCGGCGTTTCAGGTGCTCATGCATCGCCGTGGTGCTGCCATGGTCGCAAAGCTGAGCTTTGATCAACGTGTTTTTTTTGTTTGTTCTCCGTAAAATGTTCCCAAAGTTTTGAAGTTTTGGGTCGGAGTTTTGGAGCGTCTTTTTCAGTTTGTGCTGCCATAATGTGTGCACTTTTCTTCTGTGTTTGCTCGCGGGATGTAAACAGCGAGCGCTACTGCCCCCAGCACATCCTGTAGTGCACTGCAGTTATAGATGAGCATGAGGCGCCGGCATGTGATTCTTAACAACAATAACACAACGCGTCAACGCTTAATTTTCGTGTCGATGAATTTTTCGTGTCAACGTAATCGATTATGTCGACTAATCGTTGCAGCCCTAGATCTGTTAACTCTGTGCCATAAGAGTTTTCAACAAATGTTGACAATGTTTTAACATTTGATTAAGTATCTCATTTGACTACTCCAATCGGTTGCTCTTAAGACAAAATGACTCAAAAATAAAGATTGGAATTATAATATTTTTTTATTGGGACTTTAATTGTTATCCCCAGATGGCAAATCTTAAGGTGATAAATTTTTTAGCCCATATCACCTACCCCTCGTCTTAGCTTTTAGTCAGTTATCTTCAACCACTGGCGACACGTGAAATACCAAGAAGCTGGCCATCACTTTCTTCAGGCAATCCTCATTGTGAGACAGCAGCAACTGTGTTTCAAGCTTGATTGCATATTGACCGCTTGAATGTCAGTTTTACTCAACAAGAGTCTTCATTCGTCTTAGTAATTAAGCACATACTGTTTACAGTGAAGCTGTATTGAAGAAAAAACATGTACCATCAAGACGGCTTAAAGGAAAAACAATCAGAGCGTGTAAACTGCTGGTGATCCCAGAGAATACCTTTGACACATGACAGCAGCCTCATTTCACGGCACATATCTAGAACACCAGGCACAGTGGCATTTCAGTTCAGTGAGGTCTGCCAAAAAGTCACGTCAGTAATCTTTCCATAAGCAGACTAACCCCTGCCCCTGCTCTGGCGCGCTAAAAAAGGAGGCCAAATATCTGTAAACATTCTGGAGAAGACGCTCAAGCAGGATGACCCGCTGTAGTAACATTTGTTTATTTCTTAATGAGAGGTGTGGAAGACTGGAAATGGGGAAAAAGGAGATGTCAGGTGAATGATATTTGTTCAGGGATTTGGAAATGGATAAAAATGGCGTGTTTTGATAATTCAGTCAGCTAAAAAAAGGCTGTTCTCTTTTTGAAGCCGGACAAAAGTTCTCGTAAACTTGAGGCCATGGCTCCAGATTGGATCACAGACTGAGAGCATCCCTTTGAGCTTAGCCTCAAAGTATATAAAACTAGAACAAGTCGATATGGATGTTGAAAACCATTCATAAATTCCCTCAGATAAATGATTCGAGTTTTGAGCCCATACAAAAGGATCCGCAGCAGGTGCATTTCCCGTACTTTTGAGACGTCAAAACATCCGAACATGTGAAATGAAATCGACGCGAGGTGAGATCCTGCCTCTGACTCAGTGGAAAAAGGAGTTTCCTCTGACTTGCACAGATCCCATCCTTATTAAGTCAGAGAAAGATGCTGACAATGAACATCCGTTTTAATGGCCCATTAACAAAGTACATATCTAATTCACTTTCATCAAGCTAAAGCAAGCAGGGAAAAAGGTCCATTGAGCACTGCTGGCCATGCTTTTACCAAATGCGCTCTGTAGTTGTAGCACATTTCATTAGCAGTGGAGGAACTTATGGGGGATTTAATGCACCTACTAATGTCTCAGAAACATTTCCTCTCAATACAACACTCCAGCAGTGAAAGCTAGCAACTCTGTAGACAACCGACGCCGACTGTCTCAGCTTGAGCGCAAGTTAAATGATCGCTAAAGGGGAGGAGGGACACGTGAAGAAAGCCTGTCAGGGTAGGAGGGAGAGGCAAGAGAAAAAGACAGAAAGAAAAGAAAGAACAAGTGTGGGAGGGAGGGGGATGAAGTATAAAGACAGGATAGAGATGAAACGCTTGGGGCGTTTATGTGCTTTTATAGGAAAAAAGCAAGGTACAAATTAGGCCACACTCAATTAAGTCTGTGAGACTTGTGCTCAAGGGACTTTCAGCTCTTAGAGAGGTTGTTGACAATCCAGCACACCACATACTACGGCTTAGAGCTCCGAGCACTATCAGGGTGGAGCACGTCCATATGGCGAATTTTGCCTCCCTTCACTTTTACCTCCAATTTTAACTTGTCATCTCATGCAATATCAAACGCATTAAAGAAGCTTCAATAACGGTATTTTTAGGACAAACCGCCTTCCGTTCTTTATAGCAGAAAACATATGGAGCTGCTTTTCTAGCTCCGAGCGCTCAAAGACCTCATAAGCAGGTCGCCTCGGTAAAAGAATCAAACTTTATCACAGTGTGGAGATAAAGTTAAGCCTTCTGCCGTAAAAAATCCAATATGTGGTATTTTATTTCTTCAATAAAACATCTTCTAAAATAGGGATGGTCCCTCGGGTTAGCTCCGAGCTTCTTTTTAACAACAGCCAATACAGAGAGAGATGTTTTTTTTCCATCCCACTCCTCAATATTGAGTGAAATGAAAACAGCAGGACGGGTGAGGTTAATGAGTTGCCACAGATGTGCTTTCAGCATGGGGTTCTCAACTTCTGCACCATCACTAATGATTGGGATCTATTCTCTGAAGAAGTGCGCAGGCTTGTTGGAGATCTGGCTCTCTTCCAAAGACGAGTGCAGACTCACAGAGTCGGCAGAGGCTCCTCCGCTCAGCTGCAGTTTGTTAAAAATTACGCAAAAGTGAAAATGAATCATAAAATGGCAGGGATTTCTTCACTCTTCTTCTGCACACTTTTACCCCTCCATGTTCTGTTTACTCATTCCCTTCTCCCCTCCCCATCCCACTTAGTCTCTGTCTTTGTTCAGCGTCTCTCACCCTCTCCACTCCCGAGGCTAGAGCTTGATGGCAACTCTAGCGTAATGTAATATGAGCAAGCGGAACCTGTGAGTGCTCGGATGAGGGCCAAGTAAACATCCTCCCTCTCTCGGCCCCTTCCATGACCAATTTTCAAAAAAGGACATTTATTCCCAATTAATTCAGCTGCAGCAGAGTGGAGGAGGAACTGAGATAATGAAGAAAGGTTAAACCATCCCGCCATGACTCTGTCTGTCTCTGTCCTCCGGAGGAAGGTTATATTTCACAGACTTCCTGGTGCAGTTGAACTTATCGGAGTAAATAGAGGAGAGTATGTCGGCTCAAAGTTTGCAGAATGAAAAACACGCACACACCGAGGTCAAGTGGTGGGCGGTGAGCTGATAAAAACCAGTGAATTTTCATTTGGATTAAATAAATAAATAAAAATAAAGTTGAGGAATCTTGAAACTTTCTGATAAACTCTCACATCATCTAACTCCTCGGCTCATGCATTAGAGGGAACGCTTTAGAAATACCTCAGTGACTTTTTTTCTACTCCGCAAATTGATGTGATTTCCATTTTTCTCCACATCGCAATCCTCTGACTGATTTTAGTCTTGTAAAAACCGACAATGGAGAAGACTGATCCATTATCTGCAAGATCATTTTGTTGAATAATCTGGCATGAGAATAGTTTGTCTGATCGTCCAAAATGGTTCCAAAGCAGCCGGAAAGTAATGTTCAGCATGTGCTCTTACTCTATTTGTCTTCAGTCTGCTTTAAAAAAGAAAGTCCTGTTTTGTATGGAGATTTTAAAATGGAGATTCTGGATATTCTTCATACAGCAGAGAGGAAAGCAATCTGGATGATGTCTTACCAAACACAGTCCGAGCTGGAACGGATTCCTTATTGATCCAGAAAGAGACTTGGGCCAGGATGACAGTCATAATGCAGGGGATGTAAGTCTGGATGAGGAAGAAGCCCATCTTTCTTTGCAGGTGGAAGTGAACAGTCATGATGACATATTCACCTGAAGGGAAAAAAAAATGTTTTATTGAAAGTAAATCAGCTTTTTATTGGCAAACACAAGTCCAAATATTCCATTAGAATACCGATTCATGTGTTTAACTCAGTTTTATGCAAAAATGTTGATCCTGGTGATCTTAGAAATGATAACACCTGCAACAAAATGCAAACTTAGACATTTCTAAAAACCATTACTGACTAATGACAAATATTCATTCATATTCATATCTCAAATGACATATTTCCATTCCAGCAGGTCTCTGCTCACCTGTATTTGACTTTAGCCTCTCACTCGACACTGTCTGACCAATGAGATCGTACTGCAGCAAACTGGATGATTCCTGCGGTACCTCCACAGACGACAGAGGACCTTTCTTCCAGGTGTAGACGATCTCACTGATGGGGTACGCATCTAGGCGAGATAGATCAAATGCATAGCTCAACATGTCGGATTCACCACTTACACATATTTATACATATCGCTTTTTATAAGTTATGGATGCACTTAATGTAATGCACAATGAGCGATGCACTGATGCAAACAACTTCATCAGGCTGTTCCAAGTATCCTCGCTTTTAGCTTTATTTTCTATCTCCAGGGGCGGATCCAGATTAATTTTAGTCGGGGGGTACAACAGATATTTTGGGGGGCCACCAAAAAGTTACGAAAAAAAATGAAAGCTGCTACCAACTTCTCGCGTTTACAAAGTCTTCTCAATGTTTTTACTGGATCTTTAGGACCCAATAGGAAAGGTGTATATGATCTTTTTATACTGGACTTTTAACATTAAAATGATGACGGACATGTTTCCTTGTTTATGTGAATTACAGCAACATCATCATCTGCAACATCTGCCCGTTATGTAAAACTTGTAAGCTTAATGGCAATGTCCTAAGGGTAATTAGGAGACAAATATTGTGAACGAACAGCACTGTTTACAACAGGGTGACCATATTCTGAATCCCCAAAAAGAGGACACAACTATGCGGAAGCGGAGTCACGGAGTCGCGCAGTTATTTTTTAGAGTTTTTCGGGTCGGATCAGATGTCTTTTGCGCGCTTCTAAGTCAATAAGCCCATATGACACGAACTCAAAACTCCCATACAAAACTCCGGACATTTGAAGGATTTTATAAACAAAGCCAGACAAGACTGGACAGCCCCCAAATAAGAGGACATGTCTGGGAGAAAAAAGGTCGTATGGTCACCCTAATTTACAACCGTGTCAATTTCCACTTCTTGGAATGTTTACTTCCAATTATCACACATAAAATAAGAAATAATACTCTGTACTCTAAGCAACAACAACAAAGCTGTTTGTCCTCTTCGCCAGCATCGGCAAACGTTTTCAACACTTCTTCAAATCCAAAATGCTCAGGACTAATCAAAAGATCAAACTGACGTCTTTGGCGTTTTCAGTTGCAGTTGGATAATGAGGTCGCATTCAGGAGCGCTGGAAATCTGAATTTCTGTAATGTAAATTTACTGTGAGCAACTATTTGAATACATGAAACCTTACAGCTTATTAGGGAGGATGATACAGAGACTAAAAAATACAAAATGCAAAAAATAATGCTATCAGAATCAGCGAGCGGCTAAATTGCTTTTTCAATAATCTTTATTATCCCCCGATTTTCACAATCAGTGCATCTCTACCAAACATATCTTTGAGTGACCCTGATAAGAAGTCAAATAAATAAGCATACAAACTGTTAAGAGTTAAAAACAAACCTCAGAGTTAAAAAAGAACTACGACATCATCTTTGAGCCAAAAATAAGCATATTTTTGTACTTTGAAAGAGTTTGATGTACAACACCATCATCCAAAGAGACAGCTGCAAATATTATTCGCTTTAAACGACACAAAATGAAAGAAGTCGCATATAACCTTTACATTCGATTGTCATTTCCTACAGATTTTTGCAGGTCTGTTCTCTTATAGGCTCGGTCTGTACACTTAACAGTCATCCACGTCTGCTGTGGATGACATTTCCAATTGAAATCTTTGATTTTTACGCTGTCAAACGACTTCATCAGTCAGTCGCTCTGAGACACAGTGATCATTTCAGAGCCACATCATCTGTCAAAACCAACGAAGCTTCAAAAAGTAACAAACTCACAACTCCCAAACTTCAGCGGGCAGGCGTGGCCGTCCATCGGGAAGTTCATCAAACGCATGGGGCACTCTGCGTTTATAGTTAATCTGCAAGAACAAAAGAGAACCAGAAAGACGTCTTTGAATTCTATTTGAAACATCGCCACTTTTAGAAACTCGGTCTGTCAAGATTTCCTCTTGCAAAACAAAAATATCTCATCCTGGTGTTGAGAAATAGAAAACTTTACCTCAAGTAAAGACCACTTTATCTTATCTTTACATGCGAGAGAATAAATTGGATTGAATAACTTAACTATCAAATTTGCTTCATCCTACTAATTACTTTAAAAATCACATTTCATGCCATCAGAAACTCGGGGGGATTTATTTTTTCATGCTACACATCTCCTTTTTGGAGCGGAAGTGGACTCATGTTTGTTTGAATTGCCTTCCAGGACCTGTTTTTAGTATCAGATGGCATGTATCTTGCCTTTTTTTTTTTTTTTTTCATAACTTTTTTGGGGTGGGAGAAGCACTCCTCATTTCTTTTCATGTCTGGGCATATTCTTGGATGCTTGTTTGTTTGATTCGCTTTCCAGGTCTGCGCTCTATTCCGGTCTTGGCTGGGTGTGGAGCTGACTGTCCAGCCCTGTTTACCTCATGGTGTAGAGGATAGTTCCGTTCTGCATGATGCGGAACAGCTTGTTGGGGGTGGTCATGTTGTGCGAGATCGACCTCTTGCCATTTCGGAAAAAGGTGTCCGGCGTCCAGATCTTGCTGACCATGAGGTTGTTGAGCCGTAGGATCTCGATGGGGCCCTCGAATTTTAGCCGCTCGTCGATCCACGTCTGGCGAAAGAAGACGTCCATCGTGTATTCCTAGGTCGAAGTCAGAGCGAGGGTTAGGGATTGGATTTGCTGATATCGCTACCACTTTTTTTCTTCTCCTACTGCTGCTGGTGCTGCTTCTGCTCCTGCTGCTAGCAACTCCAGTACCCCAGAGAGAATAACAGATGGGTTTATGAGCCGTGGTTTCGTTGGACCTGCTGGTAGAGTTCTGGCAATGTGATTACGTGTTGTTTTCCTTTTATTTATGGACTATTCAAAATGGTGGAGCCAGGATTCCAAAAATTTAAAGCAAGGGCTGCACTTATTTATAAATGCACTGATAAAAACAACAAAAAAATTAAATGATTTGTCGAACTACATCTAAAGACAATCCAATTGAAAGAATGCTGAGGCGTAAAACATCATTTTCTTCATTTTTTTAAACGTTATCATAGCTTTTATCTTATCGTCAGATATTAAAATAAACTCAACATACTGATCGGTAGCTGATGATCTTTTAAAACATGAATAATTCGATTATTTATAGAGTGTATTTCATCTACAGACTCAGCGTAAACTCTTCAATAAGTGTCTATCCTGGATGCTTTTAGATCAAATGCATGGCCTGATTCCCTGGAGAGCCTTTTAAATGCCTCTCTATGGAACTGTCACCAGCGTATCACATGATAAGTCAAGTAGGCTATAGATGCAGGGAAACAGTGTCTAAAGCCCAAAGCCTTAGCAGTACAGAGGACAACAGATACACAAGCGCTCAGCCTATCCCATGTCAGGAATGGAAACCTATCCCTGTCCCAACATCAGCCACATCTCTCTCTCTCTCTCTCTTCCTCTCTTTCCCTCTCTCTCTTTCTCCCACTCTGGCGGGGGGATTGTCAACCAGATTAAAATCCTAAGCTGCACTAATGACATCCTGCCCAAATGCTGGAATAATGAAGCCTAGGAGAACCATGACTTGAGCGGACCATTGCACGGAGATGCCGGGAAAACTGGACATGTTCTTTTTTATTTATTTCCCTGTTTGTGTATTGACATTGACTTTGATAACAACTGATGAAACATGTGCGTGTGCGTGTCAGCCAAGTGAAATCAGCCTCTGTGTTGTGTGTGTGAGTGAGTGTGAGTGAGTGTGCTCGGCAGTCAGCGTGTTTTACATACCATCTCAACATCTGAAACAGGTCCAAAGCTGGTGACAAATATGTCCGTTTTGACCTCTGTGACCGGACCTGCAGTAGAGGGATAAGGGGTTGTTTGATAAAAAACAAAAGCAGCAACTTTGCCAGGAAATTTAAAGGTTTTTCAAAATAAAAAACAGAGAAAAAAATAAGCTTTTTTTTAAATCAAAAAAAGCCCAAAGAGGCAGAATGGAAACTAAAAACTGAACCCGCTTCAACAACCAAGGAGCATAAAAATGATTCCAAGCTGTTTTAAAACTCCGGTTCCAGTCATTAGCTGGTAATTTTAACATTGTTATGTAAAAGAAAATAAGCTGTCTGGTTAGATCACTAAGGCACAAACACTCTATCAAAATTAGGTTCACAAAACTCCAAGAGTAAAACTTTTTCTTTTTGTGCAATAAAGGAAAATTCAATCGTCTTTGAAGCAAAATCTTACAAAATAAAACATGGCACAGTCATTGGCATACCTCCAAATCCAGGTCGCAGCCTGTTGTCATAGCCATCCAGTAATCTATTCAATATGCGCGTGATGTTATCCAAATAGATACTGGTGTCACTGTGCTGATTTCCCCAAACACTGCTCGTACTGTAACTAAAGTACATGAGCACCAATGAGAGATTAATCACACGAATGAAAAGACATTGTTAAACACAGAGTTTCCTCAACGCACATCGATCCACAGTCTTTAATTCCCGTGCGTAAAAGTCAGAGAACAGGCAGAGAAAAGAGTTGCCATACTCACCAAGACAGAAATAAGCAAGTTAAAAGGAAAGCCATCCCTCGCAAACACCCCACAACTAGAAATCCCTGGTCAACTTTTAAGATCAGCATATTCCTTCCTTTAGAAACATGATTAAACGCGCGTCAGGTCTTCTTCTTTCAGTTGTGAACCGTTGCGAGGATATCGCGCCTGTCCAGCACGACTTGACTTTCCCTCTAGTGCGGTTGCGCCCGCCTCAGCCTGAATCGCTCAGTTGGAAAAACCTGAAGAGTTTTTAAGAGAGTGAAGAGGAGGGACGAGGGGGGCATTAACATCCACAGAAGAGAAGGAATTTGACGAGAGAAAGACCGGACCCGAACGCAACATGAACATACAGAAGGCGTGCGTGATGGATGAATGCTGTGTCTATTTGATTAAGGGATTGGAGGAGAAAAAAAAGGAGGGAAGGAGAGAATTAGAAAGAGTAAAAGAGGAGGGAGAAGTGGAGGAAGGATGCTTGCACAAACACAACACTCACACATCATTTGAAAATACACACTTTGTAAACTGTAAATGAGAACATTTGGATAGGCTTTTGTTACCAGTCTGGATTTGGACAAAAATGCTACTCGAGATAAAGCATGCTGAACTGTGATTCATATAGTGGTTGGGTGGTTGAGTGGAGTAGGTGGTAGATACATTTAGTGCAACTTCAAACTCACAATACCCATAGACCAGAAGCAAGGGGAACACACCACACAGCCAAAATCAGCTGTTCTGAGCAGGCAGACACGTGTTTATTCCTGCTGCAGAAACACTAATCAAGAAATTGCATCATTATTACTTGTGCCCAGTTACTGGCAGTGAATAAAACCATCAGCTGTTGGGTTATATCAGAGAGGAGACTGAGAATGTAAAACTTTACCGCCTCATTTTCTGCTTTTGTTGGTTTGGTGAATAGTTTAACAGCTGGTGCGGTTAATTCAATGGCGACTCCATCAAAAGGAAGGTGAACCAGCAAAGCAAGTACATTTTTTTCCTCTGCGTGACTGGTTGTTTCTCAAAATGTAATTATAACTTTGCAAGCACAAGAAACTTAACCTAACTCAACCCTGACAGAGTAAAAACACACACACACTTTGAGAAATATCAAAAAATAACACAAATCAAAAGATCTGACGTTTCTGATGTTTGGACGTCGGCGCATGTCTGCACTGCATTGCATCTCCACTGATCATTGAAATAGAATATATTATTTTGGCACAGCATTACTTTTTCATTATAAGTGGTATCATAGTCATGCTATCAATAATTTACTCTGAGGCAGAAAAAAAATATAGGATATTCTTCTGACAGCATTAAAATGTGGGGACTGATTACGCAACATAATCCTTCAACTCTGGTCTCTTTGTTCTGGAAACAGAAGTTATATAATGATCTCAAAATATGATTAAAATCATATGCTAACAACAATGGATCAGTTTCAGGTCAAGTGAACCCGGAGCTAGTCCGTTCAAAGGGGATTAGACATGAATGTAAGAGATCTAATGAAAACATTCCTCTTTATTTGGACTGGAAAACCTGCTTCATATCATCAGCTTTGGCTCTGTGGAAATTAAAAGAGTAGGATATTATGCAAGATTTTAAGTTTCCATGAGGTAAAAACTTTGTTTCCACTCCGGAGTGAATGAATTTCTTCAGGGACGAGAGAGTAAAACAGCCTCCTTTGCCGGGTATGGTGTGTTGTTCTGGAACATGTGCATCCACATTGGGAGTACTGAGGATCAAACCAAACATCTTTTGATATTTTTTTTTCCAGTATCCACTGCAACCCACCATCCAGAAGTTGCAGGAACAGAGGAACAAGACGTAGTAGCAGTAGTAGGAGTAGAAGTAGCAGGTGTAACATTCGGCAGTATAGAGGGCAAAGCAGCAGGAGCGAGAGTAGAAGAAGAACGAAATCAAGAGAGAGAGGAGGAGAGGTGGCGGTTCCTCTTGAGATTAACTTTTTGTCAACAATTTCCTGTTTCTGTTTCCCCCCGTTGGCTCGGCAATGTGACAAAATAATCTGACCCTAATGCCGCCATCAACTTAAACTGGAGGTCAGCTCATTTACGCACCGGCCACTCCTGACCTGATTCACTTTGCTGGCAGCGAACACGCTTGTGGATGAGCCAGGATAACTTAGCATGCTATGCAACGGCTTCTAGCGGGGCGACCTGTTTGGTTACCGCACACAGATACATAAATCGCACACTCTCACATGACATAGACGAGAGCCATTACTCTTAATCCATCTCTATAGCTGGTGGCTTTAAGTATCATGCACTAACACACACACACAGACACACACGGTCTTTATTAATCTCTGCTTTTTAGGCATGTGACCTATGATAAAATCTGCTCCTATCTGCACAGTATTCGCACCTATGGTAAAAATTCACTGCGCATAAGAGAAGAAATCATTCTTGATGCCTATAGGAAGTCTGCAACCACAACCACTCACTGCCATTTAGATTACAGATGATTGCATTGGCCTAAATCCATACTCTACATGCCCACTCACATTCATAGCTGTTGCATAAACTAGTGCATTTCCTCCTTGTTTTTCACACCTGTTTCCACTCCAGAAATGGTTTAAAATACAGGGCTAGCAGGCTAAACGGTTGATTGATAGAATAAGATGCTAAGCAGCTAGATTCACCTCCTAGATGGCCGAGTAACAGACAGAATGAGTGACTTATGGACGGCTTTCAGAAAGTAAAACCCGACTTCCTTACTGGAACACACTCTCCCCAGATAGCGAGCATGCTCTGTCAGTCAGCGAGCCAACATCCACAGTTTGTGCTGCAGGGAAGCAGATGGTGAGACTTGCTAAATTTAGAGAAACATAAAGGCAGATCATGATATGAAACAGATTCTGATCCAACATCAAGTCAATAGAGATGTCAATCCTTTTATTGATTATCCTGACACAAAGTTCTCCACTCATTGGTCCACCTACATTAAACCTTCTCTGTGATTCATTTTTAAAACCCATGTCAAGAGAAGAATTTTGAATAACGGGGATGCCGTTGTATCTTGAAGACAATATTTCCACAAAATATAATCACTCAAGCATTCATTGGACTTGAGGTCTGAATTGAGATGAAAAAGACGCAGTGATAGTGATGGATTGCAATTATGAATATCTCATTCCTGGAGAACAATGTGACTCTCGTACGCCAGGGAGGGTAGCAATTCAATTATGTCAATTTCAGAAGTACAATTACTTTGGGAAGATAAGGAAACATACTTCAAAATCCAGAGTGTTTTGATGACGGAAACGGCAGCTTCAGTAGGAGTTTGTTAATTAGTTCATTATTCCACAAAATAGGATTTAATTAAACATGTCATGATATGTACTCTGGATTGGTTTCGCCGAAGCGTTCAGCCGGATGCCGAGCAAGCAGATTATTGCGAGAAACTTTTCAAAAACTCTCTGACCTTTTGTGAAAGAGAGAGAGAGAGGGGCTTTCATATGATAGAATTAAAGAGTTTTCTTCTCTCTCTCTCTCTCCTCAGAAGCTGTTTGCTCATTGCTAGTCATCTATTTTTCTTTTTTTCATGCGGAAAACAGACTGACACTGACATACATAATAGCACGCTGTGAGGAAGGGAAAAAATCTGCCGAAACAGATGACAAAGACGGAGAGAAAACAGAGGAAAGAAAGAGCTCTCCTGTCTGAACGTTTTCATACAGTACATGTTTTTCAGCACCGCGGACAGTTCCAGCATTCACTTTATTTTTATCACAGTGAAGCACCACACACAATGACAATTCAAAGTCGCTGCTTACATGCTCCAATACAGAAGCTCACTGTGCCTATTACACACTACAGCACTTCATCCCTTGTTATTACCCAAAAAAGTACATTGTCTAAACTCGTTTCTGGCCACACCACAGTGCTTCTATAAATACTCAATATCTCCCACGTGAGATGGACCCACTGTACTTCATGAGCCTCGCCATGTGGTATCTATGGTAACCACTTACAGTAGGAGAAACTCTGCCTGTGTGCTGGTGTGTGTTTGTGTTTGTGCGTGTGTGTGTAGTTCTAGAATATTTGGAACTTAATGTGCTCACAGGAATAGAAAGGGGTGAGAAAACTCTGGTCATTGTTTCTGGAAATGTCTGAGATCACACTGTGGAGTTAAAATTGGAACCTTTAAAGGGATAGTTCAGAGGCTTTTTAGAAGTGGGGTTGTATGGGGTAAAGGCTCACCAGTAGTAAATGTACGATCAGAGTGCAGCAGTCAACAGTCAGCCAGCATCACTCCAGGAGAATATGCCAACCGGAGCTCCTACACAGAAGCTTGTACTGCTAAAAACAGGGTCAACTATGCACAAGCAGTACATGCAGTAAAAATGTCCAAAAATGGCTCTTGTGTTGGTTTGAGAATGTTGTAATAATAATAATAATGATAATGATAATAATAATAATAATGATGATTATGAGGATGATGATGATAATAATAATAATTATAATGATGGTGATGATAATGATAAAAAGGTGATGATGATATTAAAAATAATAACAATAAAAAAATAAATAATAATAATAATAATTATAATGATGGTGATGATAATAATAATAAGGTGATGATGATAATAAAAATAATAATAACAATAAAAAAATAAAAATAAAAAATAATAATTAAAAAAAATAATAATAATAATGATTATGATATGATAATTTTGAAAATAAAATAATGATGATATAATGATGATGATGATAATAATAATAACAACAACAACAATCAAAATAATAATAGCAATAATACTAGCAATAAAACTAATAATAACAATAATAATAATAATAATAATAATAATAATAATAATAATAATATTGATGATGATGGTGATAATGATGATGATAATAATTATAAATAACATAATGTTAAGTCATATAATTACAACAATAACAATAATAAAAATAGAAACAATAATAATAATAATAATAATAATAATAATAATAATAATAATAATAATAATAATAATAGTTATTATTATTATTACAATAACCATAATAATAACAATACATATCATTTGTTTGTAAGTTATTCAAAGTAACTAAAAATCCCCGAAGTACCCTTCAAGAATACATCAACAAAATGAATTTATAAAGCAATGGTTACAACATCTTTAGCAAAACTGACCAAAGACTGTAGAAAGGGGTATGGGGGTGAAGCAGGTCAGTCAGGAGGAGGACTCTGAGTGGGTTACAGTGAAAGAGACAGGGTGATGTTGTCAAAAGTAAGGCAGAAGCCATGGATGGTTTTGGTGATGGATTTGGAGTCAATGATGATGAAGTTTGATTTGTCACAATTCGGCTGAAAGAGTTCTTTTTTCACTTTAAGTCGGTCAACGCGGTGTAGGAAGAGGAAGAGTTTAATTTGGTGGAAATGTTAATTTGAACATTGTCTGCATAACAGTTAAAGTGAAGATCCTGTTTGTGTATGATTTTAAGCAGGGGGAGCATGTAGAGAATAAACAAGAGAGGACCCAGCACTTAACCCTGGGGGACACCTTCTGAGTGATGAACAGTGGAGATAGCTGTGACCTGAACTAGAAGAGAGCGATGCCAGTGACACCGAATAAGGATTCAAGATGGGAGAGGACAGTGGTGTGGTTGATGGTATCAAATGCAGTAGAGGGATATACTCATGGTCTTGCCTATCAGGTATAATTTACTTGCTCTGGATAGGTATCTAAGGGCTGCATGGAGCTGCTGTGGTAAGCGCTGTTGCGTTAAGGCGCGAAGGTTTCCGGTTTTAGTTCCCAGCTGGGAACAGAAGCCTCTCTGTGTGGTGTTAACATGTGCACCTTTAACATGCGAGGGTCCTCCAGTGTAAAGACCTTAAATTACCATACAGGTGTGAGTCTGTTAGTGTCCAGCTGCTGTCTCTTTAGTTTCATTAAGCCCTGTGAATAACTAATTCCACTTCTCATCTAACAGCAGCTTGACTCCAGCTCCCCACGATCCCAAACAAGACAAGCAACACAAGTGACAGATCTACGGATAATTAATTCATAAAAGCCCACTTCAAAAAAGCTCAACCATCCCTTTAAGCTAGAATTAACTGAAGGCTACAGGGAAATAAGTGGCTTCACGACATTTACTGCACATTTCTTATTGATGTTTCTACTGCTGTTTACTTGCTGTTTATTTTTACATTGACCTTTTGCACTAAGTATCAAAATAACACCATGTATGTGTATATATACATAGTGGAAAAATATCTGATGTAATGACCTCTGAATCGGTTAAACAGCAAGCCTTAGATATTTTTTGATGTAACTTGTAGAAAAATAAAGGGAATAACCTCATAGAGAGAATCAGTTGCTTTGGTCTCTAATCGTGGTCAGAGCAATTTTGTCAACTTAGTCAAGGTGGATTGGGTACTTTGCACACTTTTTTCTCCACATTTTTTCCAGATGTGGAGGTAATAATTATTCACATTTATTCTGCTGGTTTTACTCAAAGCTCCTATAAGGACCTTCCGTTTGTGTATATGTTGGCCCCCCCTGTGGACAAGGCAGTTGTTGCTTATCGTGATCTTTATATGCGTAAGCAGTGTCCTTAGGAGACAAAAAAATCTCATCCTGCGACATTTGGCAATTACATGAAACATTACAATTTATGCAGAATTTATAAAAACGGAACTCCTAGACTAACAAATACCCATTAGCATCAGTTTCAGACGTTAAAAATGGTAATGTACTGCCTGTGAATCTTGTCCCAGATGGCATTGTTTGCTGTTTGGTATTATAAAATGGCATTGGTATGAACTTGAGTAAATTTAATAATGTCAAATACTCCTCACAGGAGCTTTGATTAATTAACATTTCAGAGTTACATGTACAGTTGTTGGGGTCTTCTGGTGCAACT